ATTTAGAAAGAGAATACTCTTATAATTAAAGCTAGCTTATAGCTAGTTACTTAAAGAGAGATTATAAATTAGAATAAGAGTAAGAAGTAGCGTAAAGAAGTAGTAGTATATAATAGCTAGCTAGCTTAGTAATACTATAGATACTATAGTAAGCTAAAGTATAATATATAAACGTGCTAGATAGTTAAAGATAATATAGATAAGTTAGATAGCTTATCTAGATTTATCTTAAGTAGCTTAGAGTTAGAGTAATCTAATTAAGATAGTAGCTTTTTAGTAGAGGCTTAGTATTTTTAGATAGTTTAGTAGTATAGATAGTTTACTAGTAGAGTATATTACTAGAAGAAAACTAGATTTTTTCTAAAAGTTAGTTAAATACGTATAGCTTTTTAATTATATAATATATCTTAGTATAACTTTACTATAAGATATAATATACTGTAAAGAATATATATATAAATTTTTATAGAGAAATATTAAGGTTTTACTTAGTTATTTAAGAAAAACGAGTTAATTTTCGTTAATTTTCGTTGCCAAGAAATCGTAAGGCTTTCGATAATATAGAGCTTTCGATAATAAAGTACGTTATAAGATAATAAATTATTTTAAGAATATAGTAGTTTATAATAGAGAGTTTATGTTTATTCTTTTCACGAGTTCTATAACTCTTAAAAGGGTAAGAGGAGGACACTCGCGCTATCACGTGGAATGCACAGACAATTTTACCATTCCGAGAGATCGCTTTGTGAATTGCAACTTCGGAATCAACGCTCAAAGCTTCTCACAATTCGGAACCCCCAACACCCACGACGATGCTGCGCTTTTGATACATACCACTTGGAACACTTCGATTAGCTGGTTCACCATGTCTTCGGCGAATCCAGCGGCAAACCTCAATCAGCTTCCGCCCGAAATGCTCGACTTCACGCTTCTCAAGACCACCGGCGCGCTCGCCCCTCGCCTCGCTCGTCTATCTCTTGCGGGGCGGAAGCCGATATTAACTCCTGCATTCATCGGAAATACTTCGCGTGGAGTTATACCGCATGTGTCACAGGACAATTTCCGGAAATGCGTCGGTCTGAATGGTGTCTACGTCGCGCTCGAAGATTGTACGTATCCAGCCCAATGGTATACAATGAGCGTAGCTGACAAGGGGCAGTCGTCGAGAAGCACCCCCAAAAGACGCCGCCCATTTTCCTGTACGATGTCCCAGACCCGCTCCGCAGATTCATCGCCTTCCCGCAAGACACGCTCCTCGTCCTGGGCGCCCGCCGTACACCTCCTATACCGTGCCCCAATGCGAACACGAATACCGAGATAAGCTTGTTGACATCAGTGGGGTTCAAGGCTATGAGCTCGGATTACTACGCTGCTGCGGCGCGGAAGCTGCAACCGGATATCGTGGTGGGGCTCGCAGATATACCGTTCGGACAGGAAGCCGTGGGCACGAAGAGGAAGGACAAGATGAGCGACAGGACAGAGACATGGATGCGCGATATAACCGCGAAGAGGAGCTCGATTGGGAAAGATGAGAAACGGTTTAGCATCTTCGCGCCCATTCTGCCCATTGAACGGGATCTGCAGTCGTGGTATTTGGAGCACCTGATGGAAAACATGCTGGACAAGATCAGTGGGCTCGCTATCTATGATGCGTATCTCTTGGATGAACTGCCAGAGGAACTGCTCCGCTTTCCACGCCTGTCGTTGCACGTTCCCGCCAGCCCGCAGGAACTCCTCCGTCAGGTCAGCCTGGGCATGGACATCTTCACTATCCCTTTCGTCTCCTCCGCTACGGACGCAGGTATCGCCTTGGACTTCACTTTCCCGGCACCGGAAAAATCAGACTCTTCTGAGAGCTCGCGACAATCCCTCGGGATCGATATGTGGCAGGCCTCGCACGCCGAATCCGTGACTCCGCTAACCGAAGGCTGTACTTGCTACGCCTGCACCACGCACCACCGCGCCTACATCCAGCACCTTCTCTCCGCCAAAGAAATGCTCGGCTGGGTCCTTATCCAAATCCACAACCACGGCATCCTCGACGCCTTCTTCGCCGGCGTGCGCACCTCCATCGAATCCGGCACCTTCGACGCCGACGTCGCCGCCTACGAAGCCTTCTACGAACCGACGCTGCCGGAGAAAACGGGTCAGGGTCCAAGGGTGAGGGGATACCAGTTCCAGAGCCAGGAGCACGGGAAGGCGGGCAAGAAGAATCCGAAGGGGTTTAAGAAGTTGAACGGCGAGGCGGAGATGAATGGGGAGGTGAGGTTGAAGGCGGCGCACGGGCAGCAGCCGAACAGGAAGCCGGCGATGCGGGATGTTATTGACGATGAGGCGTTGCTTGGGTTGGTGGGGATGGAGAGGGTGGAGCCGGAGGTGCAGATGGAGAGTCTGAAGGTGGAGGATGATAGCTCTTGATGCCTCAGTACAGGGAAAGCTGAGCTCTCAGAGGCAGTCTATACTTGACCAAAGCCATAAGTATGCAAACGCTGTCCCGCAGCTCATCTCTATACATACTCCCTCCCCACACCTCCTTCGTCCTTTCAACTCCTCTCTTCTCTCTCCCCCTCTTCATACCTCAAACCCGCCCGCCCCTATCAAACCACCCTTCCCGCCACGCACTCCCCCCACCCATCCCCTGCCCCCTAGAATCCCCCGCTCCCAAATGCCCGCTCATGCCCTCGCACTCCGCGCACTTCGCGTGCCGGCACACGGTGCACAGATTCGTCGTCGGCAGCGGCTTGCCGCCGATGATGGTGTATGGCTTCGGCGCGTTGTCGTAGTCGCAGATGTGGCAGTGCCAGGGGGCGGTTGGGGCGTGGGGGTGTGGCATTGTTGGATGTGTGGTGGTTTACGTTTGGGGGGACGGTGTGAGTTTGGGGTTGGTTTGGTGAGGTAGGTGTTGGTGAGGTAGGTGCTGGCGTGGGGATTGTGGGATTGTGGATGGAGGTTTGGTTTGGGTTGTCTATGTGGAAGGTTGGAAAGAGGAGGTGTGGCAGGAGGATGGGGACGTATGTATGTATGTATGTATATATGCATGTTGACATTCACAGACTCTCCTTCCTTCCTTCTTTGCACGAGTAATTCAAACGCCGCCCGCTATTTCATCATTCCAATTCAATCCCCTCCCGTATCCTCTCCTCTCCGCCTTCAATATCCACAAACTGTACCTACGCGGCCTGCTTGGCCTTTGACTCGCCCCCTTCACCGTTCTAAAACATCACCGCCGCTACCCTCCTCCTATCTATTCCCTTTCCCGTCAATCTGCCCCGCAACGTCAATCAATAACCTGCTCGCACTTATAGCACCAGAAATGCCCACACTGTCTGCACCGCGCCGGCTCGTCGCCGATCTGCGGCGGGTTCTTTTTGCCGTTCGCGCAGACGTGGCAGATCCAGCTGCGCCGTGGGGTGCTGGTATTTAGGAGCTCGTGCGGGTCGAGGAGCATTGTGGCGTGGGCGTGGGGAGGGACGTTTGGGACGCGTGGACGCTGGTTTGGTTGTGTGGCGAAGTGTGCGACTGTGTGCGTGGGCGCTGGGGGTCAGGCTCTGAGGCGTACTGCGTTGCTGAGTGGGTGAGTGGGTGAGTGTCATCGCGGAGGGTTTTATAGGCCGGCGCGTGTGGGCGTGTGAAGAGAAGGGAGGCGAATGTGGTGATGGCGGTATGCGATGCGAGGCTTCACCTGCGAGAGTGGCATTGAGCGCCCCCTTGAAGGTTTCGGTGTACGTGAAGGCCCGCTTGGGTTGGGCTCGCGGTCGTGGGCTCTGGCCGCGTGCCAGTTCGGGAAGGAACCGGAAGAGGCAGCGGCGATGCACGGTGGAGAGGCGCGCTGGGGTGACGCTCGTGGATGCGGTGGCATAGGAGAGGGCGGCAGCGGTTGAGGTGCATGGCGGAGAGGCTGTCGCGCGCCGCGCTGGTGGTGTGGATTGCGTTGAAGATGGAGTGTCACGGTCGAGGCTTCGCCTTCACCGCGCGCTTCAAATCGGGCAGGAGCGAGCCTCATATGGCTTGACATTGCTGTGGGAGGCGACCAAGATGACGGCGACAGCGGAGGGTCGTGACAGAGCTGCTCGTGGGGACAGTGGCCATAGAGCCGCTGGAGTTGAAGCTGAGGTTTTCTCTTGTACTGTTGTCACCAGCGGGCTCGCTCTGCTTCATGGGAGCTGCAACATCTACACGGATACTGGAAGCGACTACTAGATGAAGGCAGGCTCTCACGCAACGGCATGACTGGCTCAAGCGTACATGAGGAAGGCACTGCACGAAAGTAAAGCGTCCACAGCGGACTCATGGGCCTGCCTACGCGCTCTCAGTGCCACGCCGTCAGATGAGGGCAAGAGCGCGACGTAGAGGCATCACCAATCCGGCTCCACCAGGCAGCCCGTGCAAAAGGATGGATAGGCAAGAGTGCGCTACCTCACCTCACCTCACCCCCGACAACGCACCTCACCTCCAAGCTGCCTCACAACAAGAAAGCTGCCTCAAGACAGACACTCACCTCGCACCAACCAGCCCAACTTCCACTCTCACCTCACCTCACCTCTGCTCCTCTCACCACACCCCTCTTACAAACACCAAGGCTTCTTCTTCAACGCACCAGCAGCGCCAGCAACGTCAATGAAAAAAAGAACGGAAGGCCGTAGTAAAGAGTAGACAAGACACACACCACCAGCACAAAGATGAGCGCACCGCCCTCGCGCACATGGTCACCACCTCCGGACATGAATGAGCCGTCTCAGCATTTCCGCAGCCGCTGTGCAATGGCTGCATGGTGTCCCTGTGGGGTGTGTGTACTAAGCGCCGGTAAACCGGAAAGGAAAAAGGACAAGTGTGAAGAAAAAAAAAAAAGGAGGGAGGGAGGGGGGAGGCCAGGCTTATATAGAGGGGAGGAGGGCCGGCGGTCCGTGCGAAGCGAGCGTGCACGTGATGTGGGAGAAGCGAGGGGGGACGTGCGCGGCGTCGCTGGGGTGACGGCGGAGGGGAGGAGGGAGTTGGGATGGAAGGGTGTTTGTTTGGGGGTTGTTTATCTGCGGGGGGTTGAGGGGTACGAATGAGAGGAGAGACCAGGAGTGGACTGGAGCTGCTGGGGGGTATACTGTGGCCGTAAGCACCTGTTTAAGTCGGGCAGTGAATGTCGCTATCACGTGATTCGCACCGTCCTCAAGCTTTGACGTCTTGGGACAGAGCTTTACTCTGATTGAATATGCATATTTTGAATTCGACGCTCTCACCGCCGTTGCTCACAGTCAGGATTGCAGATGCCCGAGCGCTCCCTTCGTTCAACCACGGCCTCCACACGCCGCCAGCGCTGAACACTATGATGGCCATAAACTTACAATACATTTTTCATCGCGCTCGATATGCGCATTAGGGAGAAGGTGGAACCGTATGGTAACGCTAAGAAGTTGGAGTTTGCGAAATGGGCGTCGAACAGTGAGTGGCGGGAACTGGTGCGATATAATCTCCATGAGCATAACTTACACGCACGAAAATGTATACCAGTATGCACTAAGATCGGATTAAGGCATGATGGCGTGCGGACTCTAATATTACCTGGACGGCTTCTGCTTCTTTGTCTCTCTAGGATTGAGTTGGACATCGAGATTCGGGATATATGAGAGGCATGTTGGTCCTGTGGTGCTTGACCAAGGGACAAAACGCCGGCATGCACTTGCTAAGAAACACACGCATTGCTTGTAATGACGAGTAATACCTGGATAAACTAAATCTGAAGGAACCGAATAAATTAGAGAACTTCCTCAAATGGAAATGTCCTAACGCCGAACTCCTCGCTATAGACAGCGACATAACTACACTCTCAGCCCATCAAAATCTCGCTCGTCTTCAAGCCGGGTGAAGAAATTGCTGAGTGTTCCCCGGCTTCGTGACTATTGCTTTGCTAGCCACCCTCTCGAAGCTCCGCTCTAAAGTCCAAGACTTTAACGTTGTGCAAACGTGCTCCTTGTTGACACGCAACATTGGATCCGCCTGTTTCCGCCCTGGCGTACCGTAAGAGTCCCTACTAGAGCGACGCATCCGTTCTCCATTGTGTCTTGAATGTGTACCCGAGGCTGTTCCATGCTTGATTGGCTCTCGGTGCCAGTGCTTACCTGGCCGTCTCATAGCTACATGGTACTGCTGCATGTGCCGGTCGAGCTCGTGCGTGCCACGGAACCCTTCGGGTCGTTTGTTGCAGTGCGGACACTTGATCTTCGGGTGCTGAGGTCGAACGTACCTTGGTCCAGGGTCGCTGTCGTGTTCTCGGAGACTTGCGTCGTGTTCTCGGAGGCTTGTGTCAAGCCTTCGTGTGTATTGAGCGACATCTTAGCATTCCCGCGTTCCATGGTGGTCTGGATCGTGGTCTGGGGTATGACAACCAGCTAAACTCTTGCCCCGGTCGAAGACTGCTTCGTCCTGGTATCTTTCCCTTGCCACGACTCCTCGGTTCATCGTCGCATATCTTAAAGGAGCCGGGGCATAAGTCAGTAGGGATACCTGCCAAACATCAAGCCAGATACGGAGCTTTCCAAGCTCTCGGTCGATCAAAACGAGCACATCCTGAAGGATACGCTCGCGAAGTATGGTGAAGCGCCGCTTCGATAGCTCCTCTGATTGAAGTTGTATCCCCTCGAAGTTGCGCACGCTTTCCGTTTCCGAGGCCCCAAGCGCATCAAGACCTGGAGATCCGGGATTGGCGGTGGCGATGGGTCTTCTGATTTGGTCGAGCTTCAAATAGGAATCCGGGTACTTCATCAGGGATAGTTGCGGGACATGATCGATCGACGGACGTGGGAGGTTGGGTGTCATGCAATCCTTCAACATAACCAAGTACTCGAGCAGCCGCATGGTGGCTTGAGCACCGAACTGGCAATGTAACTGAGCACGTCGGTGACAGGGCGTACCCAAATCCTGTAAAGTGGTGGCTATAGAAGGGTAAGCAAATAATGTTATGCGCGCAAGACAAGTGTACGTACTGCTATCTTTATTCCTAGACCCCTTGCGTTGGTCGGTGGGTCGGCTAGTTGTCCGGTTTCTATCTTCGTTCGTGGCTTCATAGGTAATAAATGGTGCGTTACCTAGCTGGGGGCTTTTGGCACATGGAGTCTGTGCATCTCGAGCGCACGTAGCTCTCGTGCGGAAGGGTGACCACGGGTCATCGCGAGCTGGCGGCGGCGCCAAGTGTGGATCGGGGGCTTTCGGATAAGGCCCTCGCGGCGAGAGTGGAATGTGTAATACGAAGGGCAGCCGCCAGTGCGTGCGTAGGGACGTCACAGGGACAACGTAGCCGCTATAATCGATGCAACTAGCGGGGAGGTTGACATCGGCATTCGGAGAGCCTTTACTGGATAACCTAAATTAAATATCAGCCTTCCTGCTAGCATCAGGTCTAAAAGCTATTCTTTGGCACCTTTTTCCATCCCCAGATTCGTTTTCAAGTCTCCGCCGACGCGCTGGCGACCTGGTGCGTCCCACACTTCCCTGATCGCGCTTGCAGACGTCGACGTTACAACTGAGTGCTGAACATGTAGAGGCTGTGTCGGAGAGGTGGTGGTACTTGAAGGATGGGTGGGGCCTAGACAAAGGCTTCCAAAAAAGGTCTTTGGCCTGGCGGGTGTCCGTCGAGTTGGTGGCAGAAGGAGCAGCGCCTTCACTGGAATACTTCCGTTTCCAATTTTCAGTCTCTCTCAGTAAGAAAGCATTGATGCCCATGGCGACTCCAGCGGGAACATCTCGCGACACGTCATCTTGGCTTGAGTTGCGATGCTGACTGTTATCTGATCCGACCGGCGTATGATTCTCCGAACCTTCAGCATCATAGTTATCGCGCTTCGAATGCGAGTTCATTGGATATTCATTGGATGTCGTTGCTTCCAATGATATTGCTGCGTGAATTGCTGCGAGATCCCTAGCAGCGTCCAGGCGACTCTCGCGATGGCAGACTAGTCGTCGAAAAGCTTCTTGGTTCTTTCCGGTCCTCATGAGCGCCTTCGGACTCTCTGGAGGGTGATACAGAGCCCATAGTGCGAGAAGATTTGCACGCACTAGGACGTCGATGAAGGTCTCCATTCGGACATTAGGAATCTCTAGGAACGGGGATAGAACGGCAAGACTGCCAAGATCCTCGAAAGCGCCGAAGTACATCAGAGTTCCAAGGGTAAAGGCCAGGTTGGTTTGAATGAGGAAGACAATAGCCTCGTAGGCACCCAGTCGGACTCGTAAGGACGAAGGCAACCTCTCGAAGATCCAGTCCAGGCAATATTGAGTTAAGTATACGGAGTCGACTGATAAGACCAGAGCAATTCCGCTTGCGGTTCGCTGCGTCGAACGGAGACCGAGGTATAGGAGTAGCGTAATCGATGGGACTGAAGAAGGCACGTGCTTCCTCCGGAACCATGGTCTTTGGTGGACGGAAGTTCCCTGTCTGTGAGTTACGACGGCATGCTCAACGATAGAATTCATGAGAAGGCGCCCTAGACCAATTCCAATCAAGACGGATACCAGGGAAGCGAGAAAAGTGTTCCAGAGTAGCCGGATGAGGGTCCAGTCATAGGCCCCGATAACCGAACCACGCTCAGGCGTCAGGAGAAGACAAAGGGTAAGGCTGACGGCCATGCATGCCCAACAGATAATCGACCGCCCGCATCGCAAATTTTGGTTTCGCTGATCCATCATGAAAGGAGCGATCTCGCCATGGGGCTCAGAAAGTCCCACGTTGAAGGGTAGCAACACTGTGTGAGCTGCCTTCATGATCTGGGCGAGATTGTTTCGTAGTCCGTGTATTAGGAACTGCCGACGAGGTTGAGCAAAAAGATAGCCCAGGTCGTCGAGGGTAGACCGCTTATCACTCCAAGAGGGCGGAAGACAGAGCCACCCCATGCCGAGCCACCATGCGAGGATTAGCCCATACTGCCAGGAGAACGGACGAGGGCCAACAGGGTTCACCAAATTGTCCGTTTTCAATAGAACTACTCTGATGGCGTCCAATAGGCAGATGGAACCTGCTAGGGCCAGAAATCCTCGAAAGGAAGGTTGTGCTCTGAAGGATGATACAGGACGGCATGCGATGAGTTCGTTGAATGTTGCATCGATGATCGCTGTGCAACACAATGCGATGAGACCCTGCAATAGTACCAAACACACTGTGAGAGGTCCGTTCGAGAGCAGGGAGCCAGGAGGTAAGGACCAGAGTACAAACAAACAGACGCCCAAGTATGTGGTTAGCCTTACGAATTGCAAGCAGAGGACTGAGAAGGTCGGAGACCGAGTAGTGTTGTCCGGGACACTTTCAAACGAAGAAAGTGACTCTCGTTGGAAGCCATGGCGACGAACAGACGAATGCCAATACATCGCAAGTAGTCGAAGGGTCATAGAAAAAGATCCTATGGCAAGCGAGACGCCGGGGTTGCAGACGGCGAGCGCTACAAAGCCGCTGAGGGCCCAAGAGCCCGGAGAGAACGACTTTGTCCACTCGGAAGCCCATCCGGAGTGGTCCGTGGCGGAAGCCGTCGCAACAAGGCCAAGGAAAGCTAGACAAAGCACCTTACAAACAGCGCAAATTTTCTCTATCCGGTTATATGAGCCGAGTACGAAAGATGAAAGCGGTATGGCAAGAAGGCTAGAGATGGCGGATACGCCGATCCAGATCCACCAGTCTTCGGGGTCGTTTTTTGCGGTGAGAACGCTGACGATGAGGTATCCCAGCTGCATCAAAAATGGTAATGCTGATAGGAAGGTGATGGCGATGGCTAATATCAGAGCTTTTCTGACTCGCTTCCTTGGTTTATGGGGCGTTCGGGTATAGCTAGTTGGGACCCACACCAAGGTCGCCAAGAGAAGGGTAGAGTAGGTGGCGGCTAGTGCTCTGCCTTGCCAACCCATGCTTATGGAGCTGATGCCGCTATTGGAGTCCGCATCCGGAGTTCTGCGTAACATGAGGAGGCCGGATTTTGTTGCTGATGATCCGACATATACTACCACGGCCCACGAGAGCAAGTTCCCCAACAACGTGTATGACAGGTCTTCGTCATAAAGCAGCCAGAAGAGAACCGTGGGGAGAACTGAGATCAGCCATGGGAGTCTTACCCCCCAAAGCTCCAGCGGATTTTCCGGATACGAGATAGGTAGAGTGACGGAAGTCTGGAGGTCGTTGGCCCAAAGAGAGGATCGAATTGGTAGGCAGAATAATTCGACTCCTAGAAGCACGGTGATGGCGAAGCTGAAAACGCCGTGGACCGGTAGAGACATGGAAAAATGGCAGCAATCGAGCCAAAGCCAGACTAAGTTTTGGGGAAGTTGGAATACCCCAGTTCCTATGAATTTGTTTATGACAAAGCTGAAGATATCAAATGTTGAGAGGCGCCGGGTGGGTCGGGGGGTAACCATCAGCTCTGTATGTCCAGCCAGGTCCACATCCAGCGTATCACCGGCCGCAGTCCGGGAAGTCCGGTGAGACGAGTGTTCGTTCGGGGGAATATCCTCTGTGCCAGTCGCATTATGAAACATTGTGAGCTCTTCTACAGCCTGGTGTGCGGCCAGGACGTAGGCAGTTCCTGTTGTTCGACATCCGAGGACCAGGTGCCCGTAAGTCTCTCCCGTAGCAGCGTCGAGAATGGCAGACCCACAATCTCCATTTGCTAGAGTACCATTGAAGCGCACGGTATACACTTTCTGGAAGGAGGTACAGTTGTGTAGGCGCGTATAGGAAGGCGTACCGCAAAGCTTTCCGAAGAGTTTCCCACCGGAAGCTGTGTAGGTGTATACTGTGGTATCATCTTTCGGGCTGTGGAAGATATGATCGTAGGCAAATACTCGTGACTCTTGATTTGCGGATCGCTCCAACGTCTTCTTGACCTCTAAGTCGGTGATCTCGATCAAGGCCAAGTCCCTTTCGGGCGCTGACCAAACAAGCTTCCCGAGTGGTGACAATGACGCTTCAGTGGGTTGAGTAGATTGCTTGAGCTCGAGGTTCTGATGAGGTAGCGCGAATGGCGTCAGCCTAGCAGCCGCACTGTCAAGCATAGTCTGAGTGTCCGGGGAGGGGTCGTGGATAGCTCCTTTCGGCGTGGGGCTCTCCGAAAATATGGACGAACATCGCGAGCTCCCGCTACCGGATGACGAGGCGTTTGACCAGATATCTGGGCTTTGGCTTCCTACGCTCGTAATGGAGATACTGGTTTCGTCGTCGACATCCATCTCAGAGTCCGTGTCGGAGTCAACCTCGAATTCGTCGTCGGTAGTAAAGCCTGACTCATCGGCGGTAGAAGGGGTGTTGCAGAAGGCATGGTACACTGTCTGATAGAATATTTGGTCGCCTTTGCGAATTGCGTTGGCCGTCGCAGTTCGGAAGGATGACGAATGACGAACATAGACAGGTAGTCCGAGAGCAGAAACTGGTTTGGATGCATCGAAAAAGACCTCCGTCGAAATGCTGGGGGTCGCTGTATTGCGTCCGCGCCTCTCATATGATGCAAGCGCCTCTATCTTGTTAGAGCCCGGATCCTTGGAGACGTAGGCGGTCCCAAAAGCCGAGTACCGTGTGAGGATGCCGCTCTCCTTCATCGCTTTCCGTGCGTCTTTGCGTGACTTTGGACTCTTCGATATGAACACAACTGTGGGTACTGCAGCCTGTACGGACTCTCCAATCATATACAGGGAGATGGTAATGTGATCTTCACCAGGGATAGATCCGAAATAGCCGTCTAAGTATTTGGTGATCTGGTCCGCTAAACTGTCCCACTGGTCTGTGTACACCCCATTTGCTTGCCAGCAGAATTTGGAGCGGCCTTTGGAGGAGCGGCCGAACGGTCCGATCAAGGTACCCGGCGACGAGGCTGTTTCTGATGGTTTCGTGCGAGGTTCCTTGGGCCTCCGAGAGACGAACGCTTCCAGAAGTTGGGCGATCATGACATCTGAGAGGAAGCCCTTGGGCTTTGGCTCCGACGGGCTCAATTGAGACAGAATGAGACGAAGTACTCTTCGAGGAGCGTGAAGAGGAGAAGGGCGGGAAAAGGGCGAGGGAAAGGCGGCGACCGGGAATATGCCAATAAGCAGGCTAAGGACTACCACGTACGGTGTGTTTGGAACCTTGCTTCGGACCATGAAAGATTGGCGTTCAGCATTGGGGCGCAGTCCTCCTGAAGGCGGCGAGGCGTCGAGTTCCTGCAGCAAGCTTCAGCCGTGGCGCCATTCGGGGCTGGTGCAGTGCCGTCTTCGAATTGAGAGAACAGGCGGAAGCTACGCGGGACGGCAAATGAGCCAGTAGAGCCATATCACTATGCCAGAGCCGTACAGAAGGAAATGCGGGCGTTGACAAGTCGGTGTTGTCGTGAATGTGTGATGGTGGGAGTATCTCGACGCGATGTCTTCTCGCTTACGCCTGCCGTGTTCGACGAATCATCGACCCTAGAGATCGCTTGGAATCAAAAACAAGCCACCACCATGCAAGTGACGAGATGGCGCTCACCGGAACAATGCCATAGTATCCGCAGCCGCCTGCGAGGGCCCGTCTAGGCTGAGCCATGGCCCATTAAACTGTGATTTCGGTCTGCCAGAGCTCAACCCGTGCAGCAGCTCCCATCTTGATAATGGCATCATTACAGGAGGAGCTCCAGGATACGCCATTCACCCGCAAAACGAGACGCGACATTCTCCAAAACCTATGGCCCGCCTTGTTCGAAGCCGAGGCGGAATACCTCGACTGGGACGCGTACTTCGACTACTACGAAAGCCAGTGCGACCACGCGCTCCACCAGCAGGGCCGGCACATCCTAGTCCGGACGCATCAGCACATCGTCGACATAGCCCAGCAGCTAGAAGAGGGCGCCACTCGGGAATCAATTAAAGAGAACCTCAAGACACTATTCACATCGCCCAGCCCGCCGAACGAAGACGAAGTCCTGGACAATTCCATCGACCTAGCCGTCCGGCTGTACCTCATGGTCAACATCGGCGCCAACAAATCCACCATAACACGAGGCCAGAAGCTCGTCTGGGCGTCCGGCAGCCTGAAGCGTTTCCTCGCAGACTACTTCAACGAGCCCCCAGTCCTCAGCAACAGCAACGTGCGCTTCGAGAAGGCCTTCACGGCGTCCAACATCGAGCGCATCGCCGGCATCAAGATCGTCCTGACAGACAACATCGCCGACCACCTGCGCATGGTCGACGACGACGACAAGCGCGTCGCGATATTCCACCACGCCTCGTTCCTCAAATGGCAGACGAGCGCCCTCTTCCCGCCCGGCCTCGTCGACGAAACCCTCCGCACTCTCGCCCTGCTCTTTCCCAAGCAAGCCCCCCAAACGAAGAAATGGTTTCTTTCCCTGCCCCCAACACCCCTCGCAGACCGCCAGCTCGTCGCCTGCGACCAGCTGCGCCTTGACGACCGCCAGATCGAAACGTACCGCTTCTGGCACGACCGGCTCATCATCCTCAAGCAAGCCTTCGATGAGTCGCGGCCCGCGAGGCTGTCGCAATGGTGGCATGACCGACGCAACGGGTACCAGTGGTACACGTTTTGGGTCGCTGTATTTGTACTGTTCTTGACGATTTTCTTTGGGCTGGTGCAGAGTATCGAGGGCGCATTGCAGGTATATAAAGCATATCATCCTACGTCGAGGTGAGCGATGAACGACGCTGCAAAGCCTGAAGGCATAGGCGGAGGAAAGGCGAGTAACGAGCGTGATTGTACCGCAAGGATCAACTATATACACGAAGACCTCTTTCGCACCCTCGTCCACCCGACCACTCTACCCCATGCACGCTATCTACGACGGCTCTAGCCACCCCACTTCAAGCTCAGCCCTCTAAGCAGGCTGCTGGAAAGTCGAGCCAACAGGACCGAACTTGATGTTGGAGAAGATAACCTGGGCATCCGGGCTCTGGCTCTCGACGTCAGCAGGAACACCCGAGCTCGTCGGGCAGTCGCCACGGGCGATACCCGGCTTCTCGGGGTCCTGATCAGTCGGGTAATTGCTATCAAGCCACAGCATGTTAGCATAGTGGTCATCCCACAAGCTCATCACAAGCACCATGCCCAGATCCATGCCCTTGCTCATGCTGCTGAAGCCGCCCCACTGGTTGAACGGGTAGACCTCCTCCTGGAACACCTGTTGCTCCGTGTCGCACCACTCCTGCGTGAGCGAGTTGCCCGTCATACCGGGAATCGTGGGCTCGGGGTTCACAATCACCTTGCCGCCTTGCACGTAGAAGCGCTTGATCTCCGTGAGCTGGCTGCCGGATCCGATGAATTGCGTCACAACGGTCATCTTCTGCGACGTATCGACCGTCTTGCCCTTGCCGTAGAAGTCCTTGACACCGACACGGAACGGGTTGAAGTCGCAGCCGTTGGCGTCGCAGCTGCCAGCGTAGCGGTCGAGCGAGTAGGTGCCACCACAGCTGGTGTCCGTGCAGACGGAGTAGCCCTCGGGTGAGCATGAGTGCGGGGTGAGCGCAGTGGAGACGGAGTTGGCCTCCCACACGTCCATCTCAGCGCTGTCTTCGTCAGCAGTTACTCAATGCGAGTTCATGTGTAGTGTACGTACCAGCAAGCGCCCTTCTTGCCGACACCAGCGTTCGCGTCATTGGATGACGGCTCCCATCCCTCAGCGTTGGCCTCGCCACCAACGAACTTCAGATCGCGAGCGCACTGGGCATCGCAGTAGCCTGTGAGGCGTGTGAGCACACTTGACCACGACTAGGCGTTTCTCAATACATACCAGATCCGTACTTGGCGCCAGGGGCGCCGTGGCCTTTCTCAGGCATGGAGACGAAGTACAGAGCTCCGTTGAGACCGCATGGCAACTTCGACATGTCGACGTCAAAGGTGAATTCATTGCCGATCAACTTGAACATCTCATAGCTGCTCGAGTCCTTCATCAGGTACAAGCGAGAGCCGATGTTGGTTGAGTACTGGCCCTTGGTGATGAACTTGAGGGTCAATGCGTTAGAGCTCGTCGTAACGCCATACGTTCCGCTGTAGTCGGCGCCCTCCATGGCACAATTCTTGCTGCAGCTCGCATTGTCAGGGCAAGCAGTCGTGTTCCACTCGTTGCCATCGTAGCAGTTCGTATAGCCGCTCTTCACATGGAGCCATCGCCAGTTAGAGTCAATGACAACCTCTCCGTTGACGTTGCTGCAGCTGCTGCCACCCTTGCCCGTGCAACGCTGCCACGACATCTTGGGATGGGTCTCCGTCTGGAGGTCGCCGACGAGGAAGGCGGTGGCCGGCGTGGCGGCGAGCAAAGCCGTAACGGCCTTGAGTGCGAAAGAAGACACCATGATGAATCAAGATGCAGATATCCGACAAGGAAGGACTGGTCGTGACACCGGCTCAAGAGGCTGAGGCGGCTTTCCTTTTATACCCCCAGGCGTTCCCTGGCTGGTTTCCCCGGAAAATCAAAAACATCCATGGTAAATTGCAGTATACTCAGAGAAGGTTCCAAGGCCAGATCTGAAATGAAAATAAGGGGGTCTTCGGATCAGAAGGTCGACGGGCCGTTGGGGCTGAGCTCCGGTCGATACGAGTTGAGCCTCTAGGAAGCGTTGGGAGACCACACCACCAAGTTTTCTCGAAAATTGTGCCGCCTTCCAGAGCTGCTTGGCTGTTCCTAAGAGGTGAGGTCGCGACGGCGCTGCCAAGATGAGGATATTCTGGTATATCGACGCTAAGACCAGCTATATGCTGGTGTGGTGCGGGGTAAGCGTACCAGAAAACGAGGAAGAATGGCGGAAAGTGAAGATACGAAGCGAAGACTGACAAGCTTCGTCGGCGGAGGTCTTGTCGTATTTATATTTCCTTGTCCGTGGTCTTGGTGGCTTGGTGTTCGGTTCCCGTCCCGGAAGGTCATGCACCCCGCTTCATCTATTTGCCAGGGATATAGATGAGGCTGAATTAACGGAACTTCCGCCTCGAAAAACCATTCGGTGCATGTGAATAATGTGCTCGCTTGCACACCGTCCACTAAGGTTGTACCGGGCCAGCCGTCGATTGAACGTCGATTTCCACGTGTGACAAAGTTCTGATTCGTGTCGGTAGCGCAGTACATTGAGGTGCTAGGAGAGAGAATGCAGGGTGGTCTAAGCGACGTAGAATTCTAGAATGTAGTGGCATGTTCCGAGGATTCTGAGAACGTGAGCTGCGTTGGGATTGCAGGTGTGATAAGTGGTGGATTTGGAAGGCGAAGGTTGGCCGACATCATAGGAGTCACCCCACCTCATTCTCAGAACACGAAACCCCTGATCTTGTGCAACAGTTTCATCTCGCCGTGCAAGAGGCCGAGAGATTTCATCTTTTGCGTCCAATTATCGATTAGCTCTTGATGTCGCCGAGAATCGAGGTCCAGGGGAGGCTGTCGGGGAATGCGCGGACGGAAATCAAACCCAATCGCGAGGTGCTCGACGGAGCAAGTGACTCCGAGATACCTAAGCCTATGAAGTCCAGTGAGTGTTCCGAGGGGATGTGAGGATATTGCCACCGAGCAATGGAAATAATACCGGCCCTGTCTGCCTGCGTGACATTGAAGCAGGAAACTGCGAGCCGTTGTTTAGGCTAGCACGAGACGTTTCCTACCATGTCATGGATATCGGGCATTGATAGCCACCGAGGTGGTCGGGCCCGGCCTCGAGTCAGGATTCAAACGATCACAGAAATTCCCCGAAACATTCTTGATATGCAGATGCTGGCGTGAGATGGCCCGCCGGCGGTGAGATCCCGCCGAAGCCTAGATTTTGTGGTGGTTTGGTCGACCAATAGCGGCTTCGACCTTTCGATGATGCCCCTTCCGAGCTTGGGGATGAGCGGGGCGCATCACCATATTTGTCAATGTTTCCGCACCTGAACATCCCTTCCGTGGGCTGGCAGTCTCCCGCGCTCTGTTCAAGCCGATTGATGATGCGCAGATACATTGCGGACTCCCTATTGCTTACTGCGTCAAGACCTACCAGCTTTGTTGTCTTGCCGCCCTGATATGAGCTGCTTTTCGCAGACTCTCCTAGCGAGTATGCAGCATATCCAATGTGGCTGGATGTACCCCGCGTGAAATCTGGATTAGAGTCGAGAATGAAAGCCGTTAAAGGCGATTCGATCGGCTGAACCCGTGACCGCTATGTCATTGCAAGAAGCTACACCACTCGCACGATTGTAGTGTCATTCCGTAGGTGGGCCATTTGGAAGCATTACGCTGGAGCACGTGCGGAGGGGGATATCTGGAATCTGATACCGTAGGTCTGACTGGAGTTCGCTAGTCCGGTCCCTGAAGAGTCATCGTGCACGCATATCGCGGCTGTCTTTTTGAGCAGATTTCGACGATTGAGCTGATCGGAGTACGGCGATGGGGTGGGATACGGAGGACTCATGCTGTGGTCTAGAGTCTCATCGCATGGATGTGTTGAAGCTTCACTGGACCTTGTCGAGCCGGAGATAGAACAACCGAGAGTTCTGCGGAGGTCAAAGTAAGACGTCGAGTTATACTTTGGCGGGTAGAGTCCCATTGCTGCTGACAAAGCAAGGGATGACTCCTGTAGTGTAGGAGAGGGTAGTCGCAACGGGCGGGAGCGGGCGCATGATAGATTGGATATCGGCCCTACCACGTCCAGGAACTCTCACATACCGCCACACCCGTTTCGGGTTACGCTGGATCTCCGATTCCTATGAATACGCCTCGAGGGAGCTACATTATCTGAACAGACCAGTCTGAAATGAAGCATCAGGCGTGCGACGAAACCGCCAGTCCACGAGAGGGAAAGGCCAAGGAATGGCGGCATGAAAGGAATAAACCGCACGAATTTGTAAGAAAGGTAAGCGATCCTTCCCGCAGCATATGAACAGATACGGTGCTGTAGGGCTGCGAGCGTAGTCAGCCCAAGCGGTTAGGGTTACGCAGAAGCCGGCGTTAGGGGGCTTGGCACGGAGATTAGCGCTAACGCGATGCGGGAAAGAACGCGACGCCGCTGACAGACAACGACAGTCCAACCGTTGTCGAGGACAGAACCTGTCATGCATCGATGGACAACTCAAATTCTCCATAATCGGCTCCGGGATCCTCGTATGCACCCCTAGGGCGGCTTAGCGGCCGCGTCCGCAGCCTCTTTGCGCGCTACCCGCTCAGCCCCGATGCCTCGGCGAATTTTGGTCGGCATCAGCGTAGTCTCCTCAAGACGATGGAGCTACGCGCACCTGAAGGAGTACGAGTATATATCTTGCGAGCTGGATGACCTCTGGATTACCAATTCCTGTTTCAGAGCCACGGACGCCTTCGATTATGCCGCGCAAGAAGAAAGGGCTCCGAGTGTATCACCATAAATCCAGATATGGGTGTTCGCAGTGCAAGCGAAGAAGAGTCAAGGTATCACTTCTGGTATAGGGTGTATATGCCTCGTATAGCAGCCGTTGGTTCCGGTGCTAATGTGCCTATCACAGTGCAATATGCAATCGCCCGCATGCGGCAACTGCGCCCGACGAAACGAACTGTGCGAGTATCCAACATTCAGCGATCCGCCGTCCGGCGAATCAAGTGCATCTCCAACTCAACATCAATGGTTAAACGAGGTCTCCGGCTTTCCGGTCTGCGGGGACGACAGCACACCAGTGCCACTCCAATACGCGGACTGGCCCATCATACACGCGGGGCCACTATCAGGCACCATCGAGAGCAGAACCTCCTCCCCCGACACAATCAGACCCCTAGTCTCGCTCCTCCTCCGCTACTCGTGGTTCACGGAGCAAGAGCAGGCCATGTGGGTGCCCGCGCTGTCAAGAGAAGCCAGCAAATACCCCTACCTGCAGCGCTGCATCTCCGCACTGGCGTGTCTGGGACAGGATACAAAACACCCCTATCTGTCCAAACCCCCGGTCAATGCATACAGACACCAAGTCTCGGCATCGAGCCTCTTCCGGCAATCGCCACCTGTGATCGACGAAGGCAACTGGGTAGCAGTCCGCTCCTTCAGCGTGCTCATGCTCGTCTTCCAGTTCTACACGCAGAAGACGTGCCGACCGGAGCAATTCGACATCATCGAGACGCTCCAAGTAATGCGCAGCACCATGTTCCTCGAGTCCGCATCAAAGTGCTGGTTGCACAAGAGTCCCTACTGGCCCCTTATTATGGAGAGAACGAACATCACCGCCTCAGAGCCCGACGAAGGCCTGAAGGCAGCATTGAAACATCTAGGCGACGTCATTTCCGAGTCAATCGGGGACGAGTACGATAACCCCGACGACGAGCAACGCGCCGAGATCAACAACCATGCCTTCTGCGAATTGCGCGAGTGGGCTGCCCAATGTGCGGCGCACCCGCGTAGGTGGTACCACTACTGCCAATGGCCCGGCAGGGTAATGCCCGAGTTCTTCGACGTCCTCGCTGGAGGCGACGACATCGCGCTACTCATCCTGGCTCACTGGGCAACAATTATGCATCTAAGCCCCAAGCCCATCGTGCAGTCCTGGGCACGCCGCACGGCCTTCTATGCTATCAGAAAGCTGCGCGGGGGCTGGAGCGACGTACTGGTTTGGCCTTTGGCACTGCTCTCCGCGCAGCCGGAGGTGCCCTTTCATCGCGGTGAACCAGTCCCCACGGATTTGCAATTTCCGAGCTATGCGGGCGGTATCGACCCGCAGTTGTGCGCTAGCACGCCGGTTGGCGTGCATCACGACATTGTACCCGGACCGATGGAAGGCTTGGGCGTGGGGTGGGTGCCCTATGTACACACGACATTGGCGTGAAGTCCGCCGCGATGATAGTGTACATGGGCTTGGTAGCTTCGCAGCATGCATCTTTCGGAGCGTCTGCTTGCTCAGGCTGTCGGGCGACGCTTGGAGCCGCTAATGTATGCGTATGACCCTCCGGTCGGGCGTGCTGGGGAGATTTAGTAATAAACGACTTTCCAGCATATGCCATGCCCAAGAATACGGTGCCCTGCTCGCTCTCGACAGGTCTCGGGCACTGCGCTTAGTTTAAACATTAAATATGCTTGGTGTACTTCAAAGCCTATTACTATCCATAGATTTACGCCGCGAATCTCACCCTAGGACGCCGTAGCTCAGAGGGCAGAATCGCAAACACTATGCAAACGCCTAGTGACCCATGTCTACGCCCAAGTTCCAAGGTATGACGCAAGACATATGTATGCCCAAGGATGGCAATGACGCCAGGGCCCATGCCATCCCTGCCGCAAGCCCGCCATCGAACTAACTATTTTCAGCCCATTCATAGCCAAACGCTCCAAATCTGCCGTCTAAACAGCCAAAACGGACTGCCCACCATCACTCGTAACCCTCTTCCGAACCTTGACCTCCATCAGCCTCCCCGTGCCCTTGATCAACCTTCCATCCTCATTCCTACCCAGCACCGCATTCGGCGAGTACACCATCCCCGTGCCCGTCTTCAAGCTCTCTATCTTCTGCAGGAGCCTCAGTTGGTCCTGACTCGCGATGGGAATGTGGCGCTTAATAGCGGAGAACCACTCGGGAGACGAGAAGCGGTGGATGATGGTGATGGAGCAGAGCGCGATGAGGTCGGTGAGCAACGTGGGCTCCTGCGTGGATATGACGATGCGGGCGCCGTAGTGACGCTGAAGACGGATAGTTTGTAGGAGGGTTTCGTTGAGGGATTTGGCGCCGGGGACGTTGAGCATGTACTGCGGGATGGGGTTAGCTAACAGTGGAACGAAGGAGGAAAAGGAGATTCGCGAACCTTATGTGCCTCATCTAGCACGATCATCTTGCCCGCTGCGCTAGACTGCAAATAGCGCTGAAGCCCAATCCTGAACAGAATGCACGCCGTATTCGCGTCCACGAACGGGCAGCTCATATCCATTATCGTCACTTCACCCGGCCTGAACTGCGGCTCGGGGCAGCTGTTGTCCATATCCAAGAAAGACTCTAGCAGATTCAATCGCATCTGCAGCATGTTGTCCTGCGTGGGGTTGAATCTGCAAGCCTTGATGTGTTTCTTGAACTCGCCATAGTCGAAACGCACGCCTGCGGTAGCCATCAGGCGAAGTATTTGGGTCACTTGGGCCATGTAGAGCGGCGTCTCCTCCGATTCGCTGACGTTCATCAGCGTGAGCATGATGTCGATGTCGAGGTTCCATGGTTTGAGCTTGAACGCGGTGACGGTGACATTGGGAATCCGGAGGTAGAGCCGCGAGATACGGACGTAGTTGGAGGGAGAAACCAAGACCTGAACCTTCCGAACAGTCGGGTGACCTGGCATTTTGGGGTTCGGCGAAGCGAGGAAAGCCGCCTCGCTGATGCTGAAGCCCGATCCGTCACCACTGAAGTGGCCATAGCTGAAGACGAGCGCTGAGAGGGGTTTCTCAAGCCGACCGAGGCTGCTCGATGGAATGAGGGCGTTCTCGAGGATACACGAAGTCGAATGGGACTTTCCACTTCCCTGCACTCCGCAGATGAATGCCGAGAAGGGTATGTTTGTGTTGAGGAATAACTTCTCCTTGTTGCAGGATCCGAGAAGACCGTATTGGGGGAGCAGCTGCCCATTCTCCGCGGGGTTCAGAGCTCCAGAGACCAGCGGCGCATGTCGAATTTCGGTATCCGTCTCGGTCGTATCCTCATCCTCGTCCTCCTCTTCATCGCTGTCGTCGGATAGCAACGTATCCATATCCACATGCATGGGGTCTTGAACAGCGCTCGCCCCTCCCATGTCGTCGGAATCATCGTCCGAGTCGCCCACGCTAGCTGGGCTTGGGACATCGACGCCAGAGTCATGGTCTTGGGGAGGACAAAGCGCTTTCCCCTTACCCTTTGACTTGTCGGAAAGATGTAGTTGGTTGAGTTTCCGGTTCAGTAGATCATCCTTGGGTCCGGGCTTGTCTTCGCCCGGTGGTATGAAGCTGGTAGATAAGAGAGTGGGATCCGCCGTAGACGAAGACTGATTCAACATTGATGAGCGTGCATTTGTCGGCATCGTCGAGGAGCCAGGGAAAGATCCCGGGATAAGAGTCTTGAAACTGGCGTCCTCGTCCCGGCCAGAATCTGTCGAAGCGTGCGAGTTTATGACCTGGACTCCTGTCTGGGCCCTCGCTTTGATTGCTTTGCTCATCTTGTCAGGGTTTGGGAAGCTATACTTGTGCCCACTCTTGGCGAGTCTGGTCTCTGTTAGCTAGAGAATTAAAAAGAAGTATCGTGCTCACTTGTTAACCGTTTGGCGGATCTTGCATGCCATTTGTTTTGGTACTTGGCCGAGCAGATGCCGTTTCAGCCATTTGTAGGTCTTGAAAGTACCATCGGATTCAAAGCCTTCTTTAAGATACTTCCAGTGAATCCAGGCCTCAAGTCGTTCCTGCGTTGAGGTATTGAAGTCTGCGTCCGTCGTGCCTGGCGGGAAGTTATGTTTGCTGGGTAGTGATGAGGATGCGGCAACAGTCGGACCGCTCTTTGCCGCTGCAGTAACAGGTGTGGCTTTCGCCATCGCTTGCCTCTTTGCGTTGCTCTGCAGTTCTTCCGCTCTATTCGCGCATTAGGAGTTAGTCGAATGCGAATCGGGTGGAGTACCCGAAGCAGCTGGAGATGATGCACTCACTTCTTCACCACCTCTTCGAGCTTCTTTCGATGGATATCCGGCCGCTTCTTTGACAGAGAAGTGACCACTACGGCGCGATTCAGAAGACGGGTCCTATCATCCCAGGAGAGTTTATCACACTCTAACTGGGCAAAAGTGAGGAGTCCGATATATTCCTGCTGTGCCAATGGCCTATTTGACAGCTCTTCTTCGAGTCTATGACTGGTTAACAAGGGTATCAACTTCTTCGTGGGTTCTTACTTGGCAAGTGCTTTCCCAATCGGTTTCACCTGGGACGGGTGGGTCCCCTCTAGCGTACGGGCAAATGCGACGAAATTGGGTATCTGCAGCACATTTCCGTCTTTGCAATACCGCTGATCAAATTCTCTCCGGACGAATGCCTCGACCGCCTTTTTTGACATGCACTCTAGGGGAGCTGGGGGGTTCATCTTCGTCTGCGCTTCTTCGGGACAGGCTTCGGACAATGAGGTTGCACTGTCGTCGCTTCCTATACTGATGTTAGAGATCCTTCTCTTCGCGCGTGTACGCGCGGAGATAGGCTGCTCCGCTAGAGGCGTTCGTGCTTGCTGAGTGGATAGTGGTGTGAGAGGTGTGGTATGCTTCGGACGTTGCTTATTCGCTAAATTCTCTTTCTCAATCCTGCGCTTCATATTAGTCGCGTTGTCACGTGCACACCTTTCGCTAGGTAGCCACAAGGTGGGAGGGGCATACTCGTCGATGACTTGGCCGACCACGGACTTCTCGGCGAGGTCGGGTCTCTTGCTGTGAAGCTCTATGATGAGAGCGGCCGAGTCCTCAAAGGCGCCGTTCTCGTCGAGCGCAAACTGCTTGCAGATGTCCTTCGCGGATTAGCAAATTGTACAGAGAATAGCGTGTGGTACGGACTGTCGTAATCTCTTTATCAAGCCTGCTTGCAGTTAGATAAGAAATGCTTGTGAAAGCGGGGCCGACTCACTTCTTGATGGCGGAGTCAATCTGGGCAGCGTCGTCCGAGCGTTTCTGTTCCAGCTCGTGCTTGAATGCCTCCAGGTTCACCGGGAGGGTCCGCTTGCCCTTGACGTTGCAGAATTTCTTGCGATATTCACTCCTCACCCACGTCTCCACGGCCGCTGACGATATTGCGCTGGGACTGGAAGTGTTGAAATTAAAGCTGAAACGCGATGTCTCCGGCGTGCTCTGGATCCCATTGGTGGCGCCGAAGCGGAACGGCACCGGGCTTGATGATGCAGCCATTCTTGTAGTGATAGCGAAAGGTAGCGAAGGGAAAAGTAAAGTGTGCGGCACCCGTAGATGTCGGAGCCGTCGTGGTGAGAGGTGATGTTCTGCAAACGGTCCAAAAATATTTCGGGAAGTCGCTCGGCGGGCGGACCGTGCGTCGGGACTTGCGCAGCGCTTTACTCGTTTAAGTTACGCTGAGAGAAAGCGGCACATCGAAATCTCACGAAAAGAAATGTCTCCCTCAAGTTCAGGAAAAGACTTGTATTATATTATGTCGCAAAGCGCCTCTGTTGCAAGCCTCGTTCTACCCGCCACCGTCGGTCATGCGCGAAAATGCGGGAGACAAGTTTTGGAAGGTGTCATCCAATGGATCAGACCAGAAACGAGGCTGAGTGTGGCGTAGCGTGGCTCATCCAAATCGTTAGGTGGTGCATCGCGGCACGGTAACGCGTCGCCACGTGATCTGCCTAAGCTGGACTGCCCGGAGGCCCGTAGCCTAGCGTGGCGACGTGTGTAAGAGCGTCTAAGGCGGAGAGTACGAATCGACGCCAGTCAGTGAACTGGGATTGGAGCGCGATGGCCGAAATAATCCAGATGAATGAAAGATGGCGATAAGTGATAAGACTGGGCTTTGGTGACGTCCCGAAGAGCCATTGGATCAAAATTATGATCGGTATCCTCACGGGGCGTAGAAGGAGAGAGCCAAGGACACACATCCAGAAGTTATCCGTCGAAAACAATATCGCCTCGTATCTTGACGTGAGAGATTCGGGATGGATGATGCGCCTGAGAGGATCGTAGAGATATGCGACGGTGAGGTTCAAGTACGCCTGCGATAGGGCCTGAGGCCACATACGCCTCATCTCATGTATGGTAGCACATAAAGAGCCACTATCCCGAAGTTCCTGGGGCTTTCCCAACGAAGGAAAACAGAAGAATGCTTCTCTCCTGTAGTGGAAGTCATAGTCCAGGTTTGCCATGAAGATGGTCTCTAGTAACGAGGCGAAATCCAGCCGGAATCCTCTCCATCCAAAGTAAAGGCGGTAGAATTCGCAATCCGAGAGGACGCAGAAGGAGAGAGCGAAATGTATCGCCCACGATTGCACCCCTAAGGGACCGGATGTGGCGCCCCCAACATTGGAATGCCTCTGGATGGCGATGGCGACTTTCCCGAGGGCGACCAGTACCGTTGATAGGGATACGTAGTAGACGTACCGTGACCACTTTTCCCGATCCCGAAAGGCTATGAAGCAGAGCATCGACCACCCAACGAGGACAAGTAAAGCAAACAGCGGCCGATACACCGGTTCCGGCGTTCGATACATAGCGGCTGATCCGATAGAGAGCAGGCAATATGTCCCGAAGCGGATTGCAGTAGGCCCTTGGAGTGAAGCGTACGGCGGACGGGAAGCCATGTCAATGCGACGACGGTATATAGCTATGCGCTGAGCTGGCTCGATATTCGAATCGAACAACATGTCAGTCTCGGTTTTAAGAGATCGATATTGTGACATTGACCATCCATTCGCGGAAGCTTCGTCGAGAGTGCGCCGGTAAGCACCGATGGCTTCCGGTATATCGCATAGTTCTTTGCGAGCGGCAGCTGTTATGATGCTACGGCGGGCGTACACGAGATCGTATAGGTCTTTTCGAGTCGCGGGTGTGAGGGGGAACTCTGACTCTTCCAGCATGTCATATATTTTCTTCTGGGCCTCTGCTGTCAGAGGTGCATCCCAGATGTACGGTCCGCGCGGGCGATCGGGGTTATTGGACATGACTGAATTTGATCGCGTAACGTGAGGATGGCCGGAGGAGACTTGACGGCGGCTACAAAAAGCTAGACCGGAAGGAAGTGAGAGGAGACGTCGTCGGCTTGGAGATGGCGGCGGATTGGCTTGCGAATTGTGGCGCTGCAGGTCGACCAATAGCGGATCCGTCGTCCTATCGTGTAAAGACGAAAGATGAGACGAGGCCGCAGCGTGCGCATTTATGCTGTGAGTGTGCGTTCTCGCTACCAAACCGAGACCAGTGCTAGCGTTCCAGAGTACCATGGACAGAACCAGATTCAGGAATCCTCCAATCTGGCTTCCCTGTATCCCATACCGCATGGAGGGACCTCGCGCCTACTTATGTGTATTCCATAACCGAGCTAGCTGGCGCTGCGGATTCCAAGGTTTGCCCAGTGACAGTTTTCGTCACCTGTTCGCTTTCCATCCTTCCTTCTTTCGCCACCGCGACTTATGAAGTGTGTGTCACACAATCCACGCACCGCTGGGTGTGCTTGGATGCATTGAAGTCCGACTTCGTCTGTCGAGGCTCGCCTCTTGTAGCCTCCCTGGGCTTAATACCTTCTCCACTCCTTCCTTCTTGATTCCCCTTCCGATTTCCTCAGCCCTGCAGAAGATGCACGCTTTCAGCCCTAACCACGACATGTTTGCTCGGCCCGTATGCACACACTTCCTCGCCACCTGGGGGAACGGTTTTGTATACGATGGTCTGCGCCAAAGCGTGCGCGATCTGGGAGGCGTCAAGCTCAAGGATGCACTACCGCCGATCTGTAGGGCTGCCCGTCACTTGGTCGCGGTAACGGGGCATTTCGCGACCTCGGATTTGAGGGAGTGCTTAAAGGTCGATATCACACCCGTTGCTGGTCGGGGGCAATTCAGGATGGACCCGGTTCAACGGGCTTGGGGGTTCAAGATTGTGGAATTCGGAGGCGTGCTTAAGAGGGTTGCTGATAGTGAAGAGGAGTTGTTCGATGATATGAGCGGGTTTTGGTAAGGCGCAGTTTGGTAAACCACTTTTCAGTCCACCTTTAGTGGAGATCCGGAATTTACCATAACGTTTTCATGGTACGTTGCTTATGGTGCACCTACTTTCTTGATTATCTCCGGTCGCAGGACCTGGTGGGCACCGGCAACGAACAAATGCGGCGAGACAACCCTACGCAGGAAATCTGGATGTATAGGGGAGTTGTGAGTGAAGCGCTGCACTCGGCGCATTATCCCTTTCGACATCTCCATTCATTGTTGCTTTTCGAATTGATAATTTCCTCTCCTTCTCGTGTCCGTCAAACTTTCCTGATACTTTTCTTCATAGTGGGTACACCAAGTGTTGGGTCCAAGCGAAGGCCTGAGCTTCAAGTGACTCTTCGCATCGCGATGATTCATTGCGGCAACAGCCCACATTTAAAAAGCTGCACCCTACCACACCGGCCTCTTAATTCACTACCTTTCGCGAATCCCTAATCGATATCCTCTCTTTTGCAGCTTACGAAAATGCAATCGCGAACAAGTTCCCCAGCCCCTCAGAAGGCCAAACCTGCATCCCCCGGCTCGAAACTAGCTTATACCGCAGAACTCATGGCGATGATCTTTCTTAGCCTCCCTTTCCATGACCTGCTCCGGTGCCAGCAAGTCTGCCATTCTTGGAACGACCATATCTTGGGAGAGAAATCGATGCAAAAGCGCATGTGGAAGGTCTGCGTTGAGGAGAATGAGAACCCTCATTTCGACGAACCGTCTGCATTAGCTCGCAACATCATACTTGAGGATGGCCGGAACGCGGGACTGCCTGCCCTAGAGACTTCGCAAACCGTTATCGACACCTTTCTCGAGGCTTACCCTACCACAGGAGATTTGCCAGGGTCAGACCGGGATTTCCTACGCTATCTCCACGGTCTTAATGACGCATGCAGTGGTGCTCCCGACATAAACGATGCTGGCGATTGGCCTACGGGCTGGCACGAACTCTACTGCCACGAATGCGAAGAATACCATACCAAGTTCCGGTTCGAGAATGTGCATCCGCTCTTCCGGTTCTTAGAAGACACACCTCTCTGTATCACCGGATCTAGCTCTCGCTTGATCGTCAAGCTCAAGCTCGTGCATTCGGAATTTGCGCCCGCAAGCTGTTATGACCACTACTGCGCTGGAATCATCGGACTCGCCAAAAATCTGGAGAAAGCCTACCACGCCATGGACAAAGGAAAACTGAAGGGCGACATGTTCACCTGTCCGTGGTGCACCATGTTGGTGGCCCGGGTAGCTACTGCACCGATCGAACGCACGATCGCCTCTCGGAACCCCCTCGGGCTAACGGTGCAAGAAGCACTAAAATTACTAGTGCAGCTTTTTTGGGAGGAGCTACAGGAGCTGGCGGATAGCAACAAAGTGACCAGTATCACCTGCTTGCTGCGTAGCGCCCAGGATCCAAGACATTTCTGGAACAACCCGAACATAGACATCGTCGGCCGCAGCTTATCGCATCGGAACGAAGGAGATTGGGAAAGGCATCTCAAGACACTTCCTGCCATTCTTGAGCAGTTCGAGAGGGCGGTGCGGGATGCAGATGCTATTATGAGGCCGATACCGGAGTGGAAGGGCATACCTTGAGTATCTGAGTTGGACATGGGTGTTGAAAAAGTAGCACCGGGATTGAGCACTAGTGGAAGGATGTGGGTGGCTTGGAAAGTTCCGGCCCTGGTGCAGATGCCCTTGTAGGCTCTCCTTTTGGTGTTTGTGTTGTGGAATTCTGTTGCTGGATATTGTTACTGCTTTAAGTGACCCCAGGTCATATATATAGCTATATTTCTCATACACTCATTTAATTATCATATGTCTTAATACTTTCCACCTCTCCTGATAAATTTCCTTCACAATAGTGGTCGCTTACGGTAATCTGTCGTGACATTCAGCCTGGGGTGGACTTTCGCTTTCTTTCTCAAGTCTCAAGTAATGAGTCATTGACAATACGACATGTTGCAGACTTGCGCGGTGACCTGGCAGCTTGTTGGCGAATATTGAAGGTGCAAGCCAAGTTGAACATTGTGTTACCAACATACATGGATCCGCTAGTCTCGTCAGCTTGTACCCACGTCCGCCTGATACCTCAACCTTGAGCATGCATGAGGACATCGCTTCCACAGTCAACAACAGATCTAGATCCGCGTGGATCCTCCCTCTTCACATTCTCTTAATGCGCCAGGCCACTGTTGTACTTTTCGTAGTTTTCTTCAATGTGTTTCTATTGCCGCAGCCGCCAGGGCTTGCCAGTCATTTGGAACTTAAGGAGAATCCTCCTGCGCGTCGAACTCCTCGAATGACTCCTCCCCGGATGACCAATCCTCTTCGAGTCCTGGAGGATAAACAACATCGGCGGATAAAACGGCGTGAATGACCGCAACCTTCGCCTCCGCAAACCAATGCCTCAACTCATCCATACTCTGCAACAACTGCCCGAACTCGTCATCGTAGACCTCTTTCGGCCCCTCGAGCAGATATTTATCCACCTCCTCATCAAGCGCGTTCGTGCATTCGTTGAGATTCAACAGCTCTAGGTACGGCTCGCGCGCAGCCACAGGCAGCTGATCCTCGAACGAGAGAAGCGGCTGTGGACAGACTGGGCAAGTGCCGTGGCTGAGCCAGGACTCTAGGCAGTGTCTGCCGATGAAGTGGCCGCAGGGCGTTTTGACGGCGGGCTCCGTGGCGTTGTCTTGGGAGTAAACGGGACCGAAGTCGAACGCGCACATCGGACACGAGCGGTTTTCAGACCCAGGAGCTAAGGCGTCCTCAGTGCATACAGGGAATACATCCATAGACGGTACGCGGCCAGGTCGGCCACCACGTTCGGGTTGCAGTGCAAGCGCAAACCGAAGGTCTTCGACGAAGAGCCCAAAACGAACCCGCGACAGCGTCAGGTAGCCCGTGAGCGACAGAAAGTCCAGGTATTCAGGCGACATGTAGCAGAAGCCTGCCAACATGTCCACATACACCTTGTGTTCTAGATTGTGCACTAACACATGCCTAGTCATATTCAGCGGCTCGTAGCGGCGCTCCGCTGGATACAGCTCCATCCCACTGCGCATGCGTTTCTCCAGCCAAAACACCCGGGCCGCAGGCACGACATACTCGCTGGTAGCCATATAGCCCTCGACGTCAAAGTTCGCGAAGCTCGCCATCCCAAGCCTCGTCAGGAAGAAATAGGGCTTTCTAGCCAGCCGGTACGCAAATGTTCGGGTGGCGAGCGCTAGCGAGCGGCCGAACTCGACGGCGCGCCGGAAGCGGGCTCGCCCGCGGGGGAAGAACCCCTGCTCGTCGGCGTTAATTAGAATCTGGGTAATGCGCTTGTGGACGTATGAGAGACGCCGCAGTTGGGCATAGATATCGCGCGCGATTGCGTCGTCTAGAACGTTGAGCACCCCGTTGAGGTCAAATTTCCAGAACGAATTCGGCTGCAGACGCGCCTGGATCCAAGCGTCGGGGGAGCTGGCCTTGATTGATTGGCATGCTACTTCGAGAACGTGGAGAGCGCTGCGCTTGAGCAGTTTGAGCTGGTTGACGTCATCTCTGTAGGCTTCACCCTCGGAGTTGCGAGGGTCGCGGAGGTCTTGAGGGGTTGACATGGCTGTGATCTGTTGGATTGGGGGTTCCCGTGGAGATTGCAAAGCTTATAAAGTCCGGTAGGCTCCTCCGAGTCGTTGTATGCTCACAATGCTGTCGATGTTGGCTTCCAAGCTCTTTCATTGTGAGAGATTGTGGCTACTAGGAGAGGGATCAGTGGTCGGCGCGGACGGTTTCTTGCCTCCAGAGGATTCTATTGGGACATTAAAGGCGTATGTTCATCTGTCGCTCATAAGTAAGCGTGACTTCGGTACCGCATAATCCACAGGTTTGCGGAATTTCAATGGATACCTCCTTAAGAGAGGAGCACAGCGCGATGTCAAGAAGGAAGCCAGAACAGTGCCACTTAGCGTCGCGTTGTGCAATACTTAGGTTGCAGGAACAATAGGCATTATTCGTTGTGAAGAAAGCGGAAACTTCTTGCCATGACGCCGCGCTCTTGAAAATCGAGAAATGACACTGTTCCAAACTGCCAGTATATAGTCAACGTGCCTATCAATCAGCAGTAGCAGCTACGTCTCGCGCTTCCACCTTCACCTCCTCCTTCTCATTCATCAACCTTGCTCTTCGGTCCTTAAGTTCCAAATACTCTCCCACAATCCCAGCATAATCCTTCGGGAAATACGGCGTGAACCGCTCGCCCCACCAACTCCCTTTCCGGTGATTCTCAACCCCCACATCCTTCAGCAGCAAATCAACATACGGCAGGCAGTCGAACCACAACTCCGGGAACCGTGCGCCAAAGCCCCTGCTATACCGCCATTTGCCGAATTGCGTGTGCAGCACGGTCTCGTACATGATGCGGTTGGCGGGCTCGGTGGTGTCGACGTTTCCGAGTTCAGCCTGCGGGGTGGTCGTGCCGCTCCTGGGTGTCAGCAATTGTTCGGGTGCTGCCACGTCGATCTTGATGCTGTGGTCCGACATGTCGGGGATTTGGTTGTCCAGGAAAGCAGTGATCCATAGTGCCTGAGCCTGTGCGATGATGGTAGTTGCTGGACTGCGGTACGCTCCTGCGAATGCTAGAGTTCGGCTTTCAACGAAGGCGGGCGGTACTATAAAGCGATAGAGACGATAGGGCTCGCTGACGATTTCGATCTTGTTATCTGTCATTGGCTTGTACGTTCTTGGGTCGGGCTGGTTCTGTAGCTTGGGGCACTTTTCCAGGATCTCAGCGTCGGCTTTCGGAATGTATTTCCAAGCTGAAGGCGAGGTGAAGCCTGGTAAACCCAGCTCTCGGTTAGTCACGAAGTTCAGCTGCGGGGCGTCTTTCCATCCTGTGCCGCATACCAGCACGTCGGCCTCGAGCGTCGCGCCGGTAGAGAGGTGGACGGTATGGTCGGATAGGCGTGTAATATCGGCAATGTGAACTCTAATGGTGCCATTGCGGACGAACTCGAAAAAATCTAGGCCGTAGTTCAACAGGCCCCGATTCGTGCCGATGAAGAAGACATCATCCCAGGGTCTGAGCTTGGCCGTCTCCGGATGCGAATCGTACTTGTTATGCTCAAGCACGCTATGCTGCATCTTCCCAAAGAAGGCATCCACGATTTTTCGACCAAACCAGTGCTGGTGGAAGAAGCTCCGAATAGAAGAGAAGCCGTCGGCGTCGCCCCAGATGCAGGGGCTCAACCATGTGACTAGCCGCGTCTGGAGGAGAAGCTCGGGGATGACTTTCAGAGGGGTAAGCCGGTTCGGCATCATCCAGCAGGGCCCGTGTCCGGATTCTCGGATCACCCAATCGACTTGGACTCCAGCAGAAGCGTATGCGCATGCGATGTCCCAGGAAAACTTGGCTCCACTGAGGAGCACTACTTTCTTGTACGGACCGAGCCCGTTCTCGGCTTTGGCGAACTCGCTGGTATGGTATATCGGCGCGCCGAACGATTTCTTCCCGTCTAGCTTGGGCATGAACGGCTCGGAGGTCAGCCCGGTGGCCACGATGAGTTTCCTGGCTTTGATCGTGCTCGATTCTCTCGTGCCGGCATTTTCCTCCGTAATGGTCAACGTCCATCCCAAATCCCCATCATCTACCGCTGAATCGACGCTGCAATTGAAGCGCATGTGCCTCGTCAGAACGAATTTTTCAGCGTAACTTGCAAGGTAATCGTTAACGTGCTCTCCCGGAATGTGGTCATCAGCGAGGCTGTATCCGTCAGTGCTCATTGGGTGATCGTTGAACTGCTTGGCGTCAGCGCCTTATCACAATGAGGGGCAAAGCCGGAAGAATCAAGCACCTCGAACCTGTCAAGCGTCAGCATCCGGTATCACGGTAGAGCGGGAGAACGAACGTTCGGAAATGGTTGTTGGTTTTGAGACCCGGGTATAACCGATCATTCGCCCACACCCCGCCGAGTGAGGTGCCTTTATCGAGGACAAGTATCGACGCATGAGGATGGACATCTCTATATGTCTTCAAAATAGACATGCCATGGATGCCTACGCAGATGTTAGAGAAGTATGCCGTGAATAGAGCCAGTGCGCCCTTGCCAGCCCCGACAATGACCACATCGAACGTCTCCATGTTCGCGCCGGCGATGGTTTGTTTCGTTAGCCTTCAGCCGGTAAGTTGAAGTCGGGAAGGCTGAAGTACGGGATTTTGGAGAAAAGGAGCGTATCCGTGGAAGTCGGTGAATAAGAGGCGTCCACTCTGCTCGATGCAGGGGCATAGCGGCACTTAAAGCCCGACATGAGGGAGGATGTGGGAATGTGGCACAAGCTGACATGGCCTGGGCGCCGCCCTATCATGGCTGCTGACGGCCATGCCATGCCCATATTGGCATATTGGAGAAGCCAACACCGTCGCACCGTGTTAATTGGGTGTATCAGCTGTGTTGCAGCCGAAGGTGGCGCTGGCAGGCTCTCTGGCGAAGATCTGGCCAAAGAAGCGAAACCTGGTCCGCTTACGAGCACCAACGGGCGAATTTCGTGGCGACTGCAGGCACTTTGGCGCCAGGCCGCGGCGGCTCTGAGTAAGCGCAGCAACACCTGTTGCTCATTCATGCCCACGCAGGACGTGACGCGCTTCCTGATGCCGGGCACTGCTGCGCGGGAGGAGCCGTGCAGAATCCTTCGAGCAGGCCGCAATCCTGGTGACGCATAGCCTTAACGAATCGATACGCTCGAGGATGCGGCTGCCATGGCGGAATCGACAGCGTACTGGCGTCCAAAGGGAATCGGATCGCTGGTCATCCGGCCGTCGAGACAGACGCATGCCCAAGTCCATCTCTTTCAGGCCCACAGTCCGCCTGGCTCCGCAGCGGGAAGTCTCCGGCGGTCCGTTTCTTTCTTCTCTCTCCGTCTCGGCTCGATCGCATTGGAGTAAGTGAGGGCGGCATCTTTTGAAGACCGTGGAGAGCACATCGGGGTGCGCGAACGCGAACGCCGGCGGAGAGGAGCGCGAGTGCAGGAGCGATGGGGAGGCAGGAGCGTGCTTTTATCTGACTGGCCGGCTATGCGAGTCGGCCCCACTGTGCGCCTTCCCGCTTTGGGGCGGGCGTCTGTTCCACCAGTTCACTCTTCTTTCAACCTTCCTCCTCTCCTTCACCCTCGTCGTCGCTGCTGCTCGTCTCGCCAGGCTGCCCAGGTGTCCGCATTGCAGTCTCGTCTATCGCCTCGTCATGTGCGTTCGCAATGGCACGCAATGTGGAGCGCGGTGTGCAGTCGCCCGGCATTGTGCGCTCCCTTGTCACTGCACGATGGAGAAGCTCAATATAACCGTGCAGGATGCCCGTGGCAGGTAATCAGAATTATACCTAGGTAGCACAACCCGAACTTACAGCATCCCCATGAGCGGACACAACGATCGAGGACTATCCTGGAACCCTCAAACCACGCGCCTTCCACCGCGGATCCTTTTCGACTGCCCCGAGGTCCTGGAAACCGCTACGGAAGCCGGCATGGAAGCAGCCCTAGATTTTTTCGGTCATGACTGGCAGAGACTCTATGCTTTTGGCGATGAATTCGCGTCACGCGGGATGAGCATCGCTTCACACATCGCATCGGTGCAGGACGCCGATGACCATGACCATCTGAGCGAGCGGGACTATGAGCTCCTCCGCCTTGTTAGGCTTGCGAGAAAAGAGCGAACCAATCAGCGGCGGAAGCTCGATGAAATGCGAACCAAGTTTCCCAATCCCGATGACAGCGCTCGACGCGCACTGCTCATCCAGGATTACCAATTCCGAGTGGCCTCCCTGCGCGTCAGGGCCGACCTTATTGGGGATCGTCGCGCAATTGAGCGGGAGGCGAAGCATTCGGGCCTTGCCGGAGAGCTGCACGAGCTGATTGAAGAAATTGAGGCCCAGGTCAGTGAGCTGACCGAGGAATCCGACGAGCTGCAGCCTCGCTTAGTGGAGGCACGACGGGACTTCGGATTCCGCCTCGAACGGGGTGAGATTGTGCAAGACCCTCTGTACGGCTGGACTGAAGCTGAACACCTTAGGAGCGTCGGTGCCCGCACGCGCGTGACAGACATTTCCACCCCCGTCCCGTCTGCCGATGAGGTCAAGGGCGAGGCCTGCCCAATCTGCCTTGAACAATTCGCGACTGCTGACCAGGCTGTTCGTCTGCCATGCTCTCACCTCGTGGATGCCACCTGCCTAGACATTTGGATCAACTCCCTTGCCGAAAAGTGCAATACTTGTGTGTTGTGTCGCTCGGAACTTTTCCGGCGTCGCCGGCGCGAGCCCAGCGGTTACACGGCCCGCTTCCAAGAACTTACTACACGGTATGAAAATTTGACAGATGTAATCCGGCTGCTCCGATGCGACTCCGAGCATCTCGTGATTCTCCTACAAGAGATCCAGCCCGAACGGGTGGCGCATTCGCTCGGTCGCTGACTTCGGGACTTGAAGCAGACGGCCTCGCGCTACTTCCAGTATCGAATAGCGTTCTATGGTCAGTTTTACGGTGGCACGGTGGCTGTTTGAATCGTAGATGGGAGGAGTCTTTTCCTTTTTCTTTCGCGCTGAATATAGTTATATCTTAGCCCTGCACTTTCCATCGAGTGCCGTCTGGTCCTTCTCTCATGCTGGTTATTATTTGTTTATGCCGTCGTACTGCTCTTTCCGCTATTACGCTAACCGACACTTGATCGCTCATCGCTAAGTTTACCAGACCCATAGGTCCATGAACAACCATCTGTATCCCGCTGTCCCAACTCTAGTATCGATTCCTCCAGTTTAATTCGGCCTATCATTCCATTTCGCATTCACTCCGGTACGAATCTTTGGGATCCACCCCAACCCACGCATCCCGCCGCACCGTGCGGTCGTCAAGCTTGACGTTCTTGTCTCGCCACTATGTCGTTACCGGAAATTGTTCTCAACAAGCTACCAGGCTCCGATCTTCACATAACAGGAAGGCACCGCGTAGCTCGATTCGTCAAGGCAGATGTCAATGAGCTATGTAATTCGGGCGTACCTACCAACGCTAGAATGCTTTGGCGTTCCCAACCGCCCTTTCATTTTTTTGGACTTTCCAGAGACCCCAGCTACGAATATCTTTTGTTCGACGCATGTGCCTGGGCAAGCACCTACCTCATGGATACACTGGAACAAGATTTGAGAGATCCTGGTGGGCGAATGCACTTTCTTACACGCCTAGACGCACTCGACACCCTATGGGGCGAAGAATGGCCCCGTCGGCTGAGCGAGGACCGCCTAACGATGTTGCTGCTCGACAACTTGATGACGGAGGACCGGCTCAGATTCTGGAACGATGCCAACCTAACCATTGAGCAAGGCCTCATGAACCTCCAATGTTTGTCCTTTCATCGTCGATTCGAGTTTTACCGATGTCGAATGCACGACGAGAGCATCCATGGTTTCCACGTCTCTATTTGGGGTTCCAAGGCGTTCCTCACAATTCCCGATAACTGGGACCCAACAGCTGTCTTCCTCGATCTGGTCCGAAAGGCAACCAGGCAAATCTCCTTCATCTTCTCGCATTATTCGAAATTTGCCCAAGGCCCCAATCATCGAAAGTGTCCTGTCTGCCAGCACTCTATCGGCCGAGCAAGGCCAAAGAAGAGATTTTCTTCAAGTCAACCACCCACAGGCCGAGCCAAAAAAAGGATCCAGGTAGGTGACCAGGGCTTCTGCGCACCATGTTTCGCTGGCTGGATCTTCTCCTGCCAAGGCAAGCCGGGGCCGTGCCCACGCTGCCGTTGGAAACCGCCCAGAAAGTGGAAGGGTCGCCTGTTGCTCGGAGACGCCATGGCAGTCGAGCAATGGTCCCAGCTAGAGAAATACGGCAGATTGTTTCACCGTATCGCGGCAGTAGGGAAATCTCTGGAGTGGTTTTGTAGGGAAGTTGAGCTGCAGGAACTGTTCGAGCTTGATATGATCTTCCGAGGCGAACAAAATCCTTTGGAAGTGCTACACAACGACTCTGAAAATCCGCTGGAACTGCTGTACGAGGCTTCGAAAGACGCAAGAATCACCGGGCAGACACATGGGACCGGAGAGAGCCAAAGAGACCCGGTACGGCGCCGAAAAAAGGTTGAAGCCGTCAAAGTAGGCGGAGCGAGGAGAGCGGGTGGGAAGAGAAGGCGTTGACGTTTGGAACGGTGTATATGAAGGAGGGGATTGCACGTCCACGAAGCGGATTAGGCTTGTCTCGCGACTGTGGAGGGAGCAGAGATTGAGCGCCGTCAATCATATGACCTGGGTCGTTCTTTGGACGACTTGGTCAATTCGTCCTTCTCCGCTCATGGCTTCTGGCGAAGGATGGCCTTGTACGTAGTAAGTTGAAGCCCCATTGTTGATTCATAACGCAGCATGTCTTGACAATGGCATTGTTCGTTGGAGCTAGCCTTGGGGAGGCGATATTGCATATTCAAGTTCTACATAAGCCGCCATGATATCATTCTAAGTCAACACTTCTACTATAGCCCCTCACTACTAGATCTAGAGAAGCAAGTCGCAACCATGAGCACTTCCACCGGGACGGTTCAAGACCTAAACGTATACAGTGCCCTGCAGCACTTGGACTCCCTGCTACGGCACCACGACCATCCTCACCAGCGGCCACAGTCCCCTCTCAGCTATTTCCGTCGCATCGGCATGCCGGAAAACGCCCGCCTTACCTACCGCCCGCAGCCACGCGTGTTCTCCAATAACTATGCAGACGAAAGCTTCTCCTACTTCGTCGGGGACGTCCGCTCTGGCTCCATGGGCAATCCAGACATCATACAACCAATTAACGGAGATCCAGACATCTTGGAACCGCTTCAACGACATTGCAACCAGTTCAGAACCGACGGCACCCACTTCCTCACACATCTGGACGTCGTGGCCTCTTTGCCGAACTCGGTCTTGCCTGACGATGTACAGAAAAGCGTGAGCGTCTTAGATATGGTCTCCTTCTACCGGTATCGGGCTAATCACTTTGCTGAAAGGGAAACGACTATCCCCTTGCGACTCCGGAATTGCTGTCGCTTTGCCTTTGTGCAGCGTCTAGCTTTCTACCAGTGTCGCCGTCGAGGGCTGTCGTTCCAACACACGACTGAGAAAATCGAGGCAGCGAGAGCCCAGTTCGACGCTCCGGCAGGCTGGAACGTGAAGGAGGTGCTCACTACAATATTGGCTGACATCCAAATAGAACTCAATGCTGTCGTGGCCCGCTTCAACGAAGCCGTCCAACTTGAGTCCGTCGGCGGCCACATCCCGGTCACCACCGTCACAACGGCCCTACCCGCCACCTACCCATCCACCGACTGCATCGTCTGCCGCTTCCCCCTCTCCGCTCCAGCCGTCCTTACCATCCCCTGCAAACACGCCTACTGCTCCGAGTGCCTCGAATCATGGATCCACTCCTGCCAGCCGAACTCACATACCTGTCCCTACTGCCGCACGGAGCTGTTTCCGCGCCCGATTTATCGGCGCACGGTGCAGTCGGTGAATTATCAAGATGAGATTCGCAGGCTGGAATATCATGCGGAAACAGCGCGTAATACGATGAGCAGTGTGGAGTGGTTTGAGGAGGAGGTGGAGCTGCAGAGGCAATGGAGCTTGGCGGTCGAGGAGGCGGGAAATGCTGGGAATGTTTAGGGGCAGGCTGTAGACGAGGCGACGAGGCAGTGGGTGAGGGAGCGGTGGGGACTTTTGATGGAATGACGATGCATGCTGATTGCGAGGTGTAGGGTCAACTCATCCGAACTGAAGTCCTGCCAGCTCAGCATCTTGCGAATCCCTGTAGGCCCCCCGTAAGCTCTATCCTCACTCGCGTTTGCCTGAATATGGAGCCAAGTTATAATCTGAAAGTAAGCTTTATTGAGCAAGTCGTGTACCTTTTGCCTGTTTTGATGTTCGGCATAGCAAGAGAGGTAAAAGGCGTGCTTTCCGGACATGCCCGCCCACGCGACTTTTGTGTACCTTCCCTATGCCCCTTCCTTTCGCGGCATACCCTTAGTCCTGCACTCTTATAGATTCTATCCTTTGAAATAACATTATTCTGCATGCTATCGTTCATATCCAGTCACGACACCCACATATGGCGTTACAGATTCCTCATACACCTACCGGGAAATGACACCGTTAGCATCGTTTCCGCGCTCTAGCTTAGACGTCACGAGCACCCCGCATACTTATATAAAATATGGCCAGTCAAGGGACGCGATCCTTACCTATTCCACAGATACCTTCGCCCACTGCAGTACCCATAGAAGCATCGTCTTGCCTTCTTTAGAAACTGCACCAGTCCATTTCGCTGACCAATGCCTTCACGGCTCCCATTCGTCCCAAACGCAGCCCCGGCGGATAGTCCAACTTGACACTAGCCAGCTGGTTTAGACCAGCGAGCCTCTACAGTTCTGAGAAGTGGATTCGGAGGAAGAGCGGGGCCGAATGGGTGCCAGGGAAATAGTGTTGTCGGCAAACTCGAATGTTTGAAGCACTCCGAGTTGAGTGACGGCCCAGTGGTCAGGCTACGGAGGTGCGTGGTCGGGCGGATTCGTCGTGCCGCGGGTAGGAGACGAGCTAGACGATAGAGATCGGCCATAGAAGCAATGAATTCGGGAAATAGAGTATGTTATTCTACGGCACTGACTGCGGAAAATGCATCCTGAAGACCTTCAACAGGTAAAGCCCCAGCGGAAACGTCAAGACCTGCTTATGCGCACGTTCGTACTCACACTCTGGTATTCACCAAGCCTGGAAGAAGTGGCGGTGAATGAGCGTGGGCCGCAATCACGTGAAACCGAGCCGTCCACGTGGCCGGGTACCCACATCTACCGCTCTTTGGGTCTGCACCCCACAACCGCCACACCTAATACACAAAACCGCGCTAGACAGAACAATAGCATCATGACCAATGTGCCAGGTTTGGAAGATCTATTTCCCGGGGCGAAGGAGACCCCAGCCCCAGCCACAGGTAGGTTGCGAACAGCTGCTTCTTGCATTGCATCAGCGCACTTCAAAAGACGGCGTTGGTTTTTACGCGCATGACGCGTAGCTCAATTTATTCGAGTCTTCTAGATATTGTTAACGGAATCAGTGTACAAACAGATTCGACAGCGCTTGACCCGTCTAACGGAAATACGGCACCTCATCCGAATGGATGGCGAAAACCCCAAACTCCTCGTATATGCCATCGAGAACCTCGAGGAGCTTTGCCAGACGTGGACCCACTTGGCATCGCTCGCTAACATCGAATTTCGCCTCAAGGACATGGCAGCAGCGCAGCTGGACGAAGAGACACGCAAAGCGCGAGAGTGGGTCCTCGGCGTTATCACACTTCAGGAACAGCTCTGTGAGAGGTCCCACTTTGTCCGCTTGCTCCGATCCGCCCTCGAGAAAGACCCAGGCGAGCGAACAGACTTGGAATCCCTCTACATGACTCTCACAGAGGAGGATCCGGACGACCCAACAGAGAGACTGGACATCGCATACACGCTGGTCCTCCACTTCAACTACGCGGAGACGTACAAGAGTATCCTAGAAAAGGCGCAACAGCTCTCCGCGCGCAAATCCAAGGCCTCAGAAGCCCACGCAAAGAAAGTCCGCAAGCGCATCGTCGAAAAGGCGCAGTCTATCAAAGTCGACATGTTCGCCTGTGCTGTCCCGCTCTCGACCATCAGGTCCGCGCAAAACGAGGAGCGCGACTGCCCCGTCTGCCGAAACGCATACCTCGACTTCGCCACCTTCTCCGCTGGGGACCTCCTCGCAGACTACGCCGTCCGCATCAAGTACTGCGGTCATGTCGTCGGGAAGCACTGTCTGGAGACTTGGATGGACACGCCGCTCATCGATGCTGCTAGATATCCGGACCGAACGTGCCCGCTCTGCAGAACGGAGATTGAAGGACGAGAAACACCGGACTTACCAAGGGGTCTAAGAGAGCATATCGTGCATAGCAGGCAAGCGGGGGAGCTGATGCAGAAGACGGACCTGGAGACGGACGAATGCTTGGACGTGCTGCTGAGGCTGATGAGCGAGGAGGTGGCGGTTGGCGCGCTGCTGGAGGAGGCTGGCGAAGAGGAGCATGGGCAGGTGGATGTGGAAATGGCGAGGGAGTTTTTGAAGGAGAGGGCAGAGGAGCTGAGGGAGGAGAAGAAGATGTTGGGGTTTGCTCGAAGCGAGGGGCTTTGGAGGGGAATGAGGGCCGAGTGGGTGGATAGTGGAGTGAAGAGGTGAATATGCATTGAGCCGAGTGTAAGATGGTTGTTGCGTGGCTTGGTTTCTTAGGGATCGCGCATATCTAGCGGTTTTGGGGTTTGGGAGCGTCGAAGTGACTTACGCCATTACATGGGAAGCGAAATCGGAGTACTCACATGAGGCCTCCTGTTTACCTATCCAACAAGTTTAATCTGCTCCAGTAAGTTAATACATTCCTCTCGATCACAAATCCAGCTGTTAATTCAAATATAGTAACACTTCCACCTCGCGCGGCGGCACACTGGACTCCGTCCACTTCACCTCCCGTCGCCCAGCTACCTGGTAGTCGTACACCTATTGACACGCTTGCTTCGACTGCCACGGCGTTTTCATTACCTTCACATGTCGCTCGTAGATTCCAAAGCCTGCTTCGCAGCGAAAATATTTTCTTCTCGCTCCAGGTAGTCGGCGTAAAGAGGTGACCTGGACGGAGCTGCTCTCCGAGACGATCGTGATGGGGGCGGCGGGTACAATACGTGTAGACGACGTTTTCGTCACCACGAAACCCACCGCGAGCGGATGGTGTAGTGGACGCAGCGAGTGGGAGCCGCAGGACAGACGCGATGAAGGCTTTCACCAGGCGTGGAGAGGATATTCTTGCGGTCGCGGATTGGCTCCAGGAACAGGACGCAGAGTCCGTGGTTCGTTGGGTGGGCGGTGAGCAGTGTGATTTTTTTTTTCTGGAGCCCGGAGGTTCTCTAGCGTGAGAGGCTTGAGCGGGTGCTGATGGAATGTCGCGAAATTGATGAGGAAGCTTCCGGTAGAAAGATAGTGGGTCTTTCTAAGGAAAGAAAAACTTATTTAACAACTACGTGCTAAGAACAACGTTGCGTAATTATCCAACTACTACACTCTTATGACACTACTCATCTACTAGGGCGATTACAGAAATCAGGCTGCTGCAAGGACATAGGTTCAGTCTTTGACCCTTCTATCCAATACTTCCGCCTTGTATCTAGATGATCCTTCGATAGTCCACCGTATGTTGCATTGCCATCATAGCGTAATCGTGCCTCGAACTCGTCTACGTTCAAGCACGTTGCCATCAGACTATCGCCTCTGTTCCCTGATTCGGATTCATGTTCGTTTACTCTCCGAATCAGAACACGCCGTTGATGCCTCGTCATGACGTCGATTCGATTTTGGTTGCACCGTTCGAGAGGATGCATTGCGCCGATTGAGACAAGCAGGGATCGTAGATGAAGTTGACTTGGGGAATCCCGAAGGTGATGCCACATGTCGACGCAGCGTTGTACAGACACTGGCACCCTAGCAGGAGCCTGTCCGCACTTTTCGATCTCTAGGCTCAACTGAAGGTGGTATATGAATGCAACATGATGTCGGACGCAATCGAGATGATTGGATAGCTATAGAGCACGTCAGCGGCCTCAATAACATGTGATGCACAAGCTGCTTACTAGGGCATCTTCCCACGGCGCATCGATTGCGAGTAGTCGCAGACGTGGGCAAGTCTCTCCGATGACCTGTATGGTAGAGGGAGAAAGAATAATCCGCGTGCTTCTATCCCATCGTAACCCCATCTCGCGCTCATGAATACGCAAATATTCAAGTGATTTGCCCAGATGGCTAAACAGCGTCTCAGTGAGTGCTAGCTCGCTAGTTTGCACCACATCTGTCCCATTAATAATGCTCAGCACCTCGAGATGATTTTGTGATAGAAGGAAGTCCCAAATGCCGGAATGCAAGGGCGGCTTTGAGCACGAAGAATATGCGCTTTCGTATCGAGAATCGAGTTCCAAGGTCAAAGCACTGAGTTGCGTATGCCTCTTGGAGAGAAGGTCCAGAAAAGCAGGACATGTGAAATGAGCTTCTTCGATGTCTCTGCATTGTACGAAATGCTGAAATCGCATTACTGTGGGCTCATCGGCGTCGCACAAGCAGAAATTTGTTAATCGTAGTTTCCTTAAGCTTAAAGGGCAGTCAACATTTTCGGGCAACCACTGAAAGCCGCGGATCGTTTTGAACGCGGGGCTTGCCACACTGTTTGCGAACAATCTCCCCGCCGCGTGTATCTCAAGCGCAGAGAGTGGAGACTTAGACAGTAAGTCTCCCAGAGTGTGGAGCATCGTGGTCTCCGTGTCCGAGGACATGTCGAAGGCAGGCACTACGATACCTAGCCGAGTCAATCTGGACGCAACACCATGCAGTGCTATGAGACTCCCTGGCGTCTCGATGGACGGAAATGTTACTGGACCAAAGCGAGAATCTGCATAATCGTCGCGGAACTGTATCTGCACTCGACAGGTCGAGCAGTTCTCCACCGCGTCGAAAATGCACATTGGCATGCGGGGTTTCGCGGCCCATCTAAAGTGGCCGTCAGCGCAATACTTGAGCAGGATTCTGATGACAGACATGAGATTGCGAAGAGAACTTCTCTCTATGACGCGCGCGAGATGCTCGAGTTGGTTCCAGGTCGATTGGCTACGTGGCTCGAGCCATCCATACGGGCCTTTTACTCTTGGAAGGTCGTGGGGTGGAAAGAAACGGGCCGCTTGGATGTGGACCAAGCCGGACGAGAAAACGTCGGCAACAGTTATCGTGTGAATCCGCTTCTGGAATACTGCGTCGGATTCGATTCTGTCAAAGAGGAGTTTGTTGCGCGCTTCCGTTACTGGGCTGACGATTAGCTGGTCCAGATGGCCATCCAGGATTCGCTGGGCAATGCTGTGCCATCGTTTGCAGACCAAGGTCGCGTTCAGAAGAGATGGGCGATGCGATGTCCATACCTAGAAACACTCGTCAGAAGACGCACGACGGAGGGCAAGCGAGCGCACATCAAACAAGATGTAATAGAGGACATCTCCGTTCACAGAATTCATGGTGGTAGACTTATCAAGCCTAGTAGGACGGATGGAAGGACGGATGGCGAACTCCACCCGCAGCGGGGTTCCCAAGGCTGATGTGGCGTAGGGAACAGGCAACGTGGCTTAGTAGACAGTGACGTCATGGCGCTGTGCCACCACAGCGACCGTCGTCGTTTTGCACTAAATTATTCCCCATCCCGTATTTACGTATGCCACAAACATCTCTATAGATGCGCGCCCTTAATCTCGACTGTAAGTGCTCCCAACAACCGGCGTGCCTTGGGAATCTGCATCCTCCACCGCTGATCGCGCTATGGTACAAAGGTACAAGGCCAAGAGAACGCGAACGCTAAGACGGAGAGAAGAATCCTTACTTTGGATACATATGTGGGCCCCTACCAGGTCGGTTGTTCCGACTGAACCTTCTGCCCATCGCACCATCCGCGCCCATGGTGTTATATCTCAGCCACATTCCTGTCGCCAGTAAAGAGTAGCCTTGGGCGTTCTTGATCTTGTCCTCATCGCTGAGCGCCTTAATCTCGTCGAAAGCGTATGTCTCCGCTCTCCCAGAAGGGAGCGTGTGTGATATGCCCTTTCGGATGGCATGCATGAACTCGTGTACTAGCGTGCTCGAAGTGTAACCGCCGAAAGTATCATAATCTTCACCCCTCCATTTGCCATTCCAGTTGTCTCCAATGACCCTGGTGGCGCTGAGAGTTGCTGGTGCAGCGCCGTCACACAGGACGATGACGGAATGTGGTCCTGTAAGGTCGTCCGTGTCGTATCTGTAAGCAGTGGTGACAGGCGTACAGGGATTGCTGCCGGACGGTACTTCCCACCCAATTTCAGGAAATCGTTTGTCTACGATTTGATCGAAACCTTCCCGAGTGTTGGAGATGCGTGTGAGGTGCCCTTCACCGCAATGGATTGCGACGGTGTTATCATTTGGGACCAAATCGTCGTAATCCCCAGTGTACTGGCCAATCGCCCTAGGTACATCGTTCATTCGATCTTTCCAAGTCAGTCTATCTAGAGTTGGTAATGGCGTTTTAAGCATGATGCGCACCGACAAGATTCTGCTTCCAATGGGGCCCGAGCGCTTGCTTGGCCACGTCTCCAAGTTGGGGATTGTTCTCGCTTGCACGGTAGACTGCGTACTGGGCGATGTTGAGAGCTTCATCCACCGCATCTTTGATAGAATCCACGCCGTGTTGGGTGCAACTGCGCCAATCAATCATGTAGGCCCTCGTGAATGGCAAAGACGGAAAGAGAAAAAGCGAAGAAAGAGTGAAGGGGAAAGCAACATAATTGGAGAGTGACTTCATTGTGGCCAGTTGTAATGGGCTAGTTGCCTTTCATGGGTTTATCGAGATGAACCAGGACCGGCTATATTATACATGCTTCGAAGCAGTACACGTCTTCCTGCTACGATAAGGACACTTAGCAAAGACGATGTGTACGGTCAACACCAAGAGAATTAGAGACGAAGGAATGCATGCGATGTTTAGCGGTAGAGTCATAAGACCTCGAACTGTCCTCTCCACGGCTCAGTGGGCTTCCTCGCGTTTTAGGTCAAGACAGACACGTTGTGGAACGGAGGGATGTAATGCCCATCTTTTCATTATGTATCACATCGGCTAACGGCAAAAAGTTTTCTTAAACTTGTCCTGACGTTAGTGGACTGATGTGTGAAGGGGTTTGAATTTCAGCTTAGCCGTGTGGGGGCGCAAGGCGCGGCACAGGTTTCTTCCAACGTTCCTTTCATTAGCCATACATACGGACATGACACAGTATACACGATCGGTTGAATTTATAAGCATTTTCGCGTGAAACACGTCTCAGCTTCGCAATGCTGTCTGCTCAGCACTGTCGGGCGAAGGCGGCACAGGATGCGCAGGAGCCCACGCTGTCGACCGACCATTCGCGCTCGGCATACCTTATTTTCGCATACAACCGTGTCTTCTTCTCGTGATGGGACGTGACACATACAAACAAAATACAAAAGATCCCATATACCCAAGGGAGTTGCCAAACTTCCCACAGTTGTGGAGATCTTGACTTCACATTCAAAGCGACATCATGGGCAGTCACAAGTTTGCAGCCTGCCTCATATTCTATCATCTCACTCAAAGTGTCTGGACATCACCTCAAGAGACATTCGCCCCGACACCGACGGTTGAAGCGCAAGCAATCAAATTGCAAGAGCTCGGAATACAGAACCTTGACAATGTCGACTGGAAAAAGTTTTGGAAGCATGTCCCCGCCCGTCTACCGGATTTCGAGGTATTATGTGGCTTTGGGGAGGGTGATCCAAAGAAAGTACCAAGAACAGTCGCACAAGAAAACGTCAAAACCTTTTGCGGTGACAAGAAAGGAAAGGGGGTAACCATCGGTCACCCACTGGATGGGCTCTTCGATTTCGACGATAACAACACTCTCAATATCACCTTCCGTCAGAGCCCTGACTGTGGAGAGTTCAACGACCTAGTGTTAGATGAGGGTGATTGCGTTGCCAATCTCAATGGTCCTATCGATGAGTGCGACGAGAACAGCTCTGACATTCCGGGCGGCACGGCCAAAGATGGATGCTTTATATACATCCTACATCCGCAAAACAAACCAGCACCAACCCAAGAGCCTCGACCGTCACCGACACCGTCACCGACACCAGAGCCACCGCAAGGCGACCCGAAGAGCCTACAGATAATCTACGAAACTTTCATCAGTACGGGAGCAGAGGAATGGCAAGCTTGGACATTTTTTGAGGGCGAACAGGGCACGGCCGTAGATCCATGCGCTGAAAACCATATCAAACAGGATAAAACAGCACCGGGGGCAACAGGATACGATACCCCATTCATACAGGGCGAATGGAACTTGCGGTTTGCAGGATACGCCGAAGACTGTATCTTCCAGGGAATTGGTAGAAGAGGCGAAAATGGAGACGTTGGTTGGCTCCACTGCCCTGAAAGGCGTGCAATTATGTGTCTTGAAGACCCGAAGAGAGGTGGGGGTAAGGACGCTTGGAAGAACTGTGAAAAGGGGGAATGGAGTGACGACCGTATCCCAATGGCTTACTGTGATTGGTCTTAGGTGGCCTCACCGGTATAAAGCTTCTTGTACCAGTTTGGAAAGACGGACGAAGCTTTGCTTTTAAGAGCCCGCAGGGTTGGGTTCAGAGTCTCTTCGTATTTTGGCTTCTGGGTATAGGCGGGCTATTTCCGCAGTGTAACCGTTCCTATCCCCTTATCTTAGTTTGCTTCAATATACGCCTCGCAATTCCTCTTCGTGAGAGAGTGACTGGGTTGCCATCGAAGACGCCTCCGGGGCCAAAATCAGGCGTTCCACCAAGCGCTCCGAAGATGTCTCCAACATAGTTCGTCGCGTTGATGCCCTTCGCAAACGTCGCATCCCACGCTGTAAGAATTCCCTCAACTACCTTCACCCCCGCGAGATAGATGTTCTGAATAGCAGGCTCGAACGCGCCTTGGTTCGCCCAGAAGAGATTCGTCGTCGCAGGCTCACCGGGATACGGTCTGTCCATGTCGCTCGCAGTGCGCATAATGATGATGCGCGAGAAGTCGACAAGACCGGCGGTAGCGGCTCGCAGCATCGCTTCGAGAGTCGCGTTGTCTTCTTGTGCAGTGGTGCAATAGACACCGGTTCCGTTGGTTACCATCGTGGTGTAGTTGCCGAACGATTCTCCGAGAAGCTTGCCGCTGTAGTAGACATCGCTCGTGGCGACGTCGCACTCAACTACTGAAGGAGCTTCGGCGGCAGTGGCGTAGAGTCCATCTGATGTGTTGTACATTGCGCGATACGCCACGGCTTCCGCGCTGTCATTCAATGTCGCCGTCCGAGTGAAGCCAATAGCGAGCTTCCGGAGAGCATCATTGACTTCAAACACCTCGGTGCCATAGATGGACTGGGGGTACTCGTCCGGCCGCGTGCTGCCCTGTGGAATGTATCCGGTCGTAAAGTTGCTAGGAATCTCGCGCATGTCGAATTCATATTGCAAAGCAACTTGAACTGCGTAGCGAGCGAAAGTTACAGACGCGACTGTGGCGACTTCAGGGTTGATTCCAGCAATACCTCCGACGAAGAAGTAGGTGGAAGTCAGGTCAAATTGGGGAGAAGCAACGAGAGATGCTATCGTGACGGCGGCGTTGATTTCGGATTCTCCGGTGACGAGCTGGCATATGTCTCCATTGGCGGTACAGTGGGCGTCTGGAAACAGTGGAGAGAACCCGGGAACGGTGATGTTCTTTGCTAGGAGATCAAACTCGGGGATGCCCCACCATATCTCGGCTTCTGGGTCGAACATGCTGAGGTTGAAGACCTTCGGTTTGATCTTATAGACGGGGTAAGGATCCATCTTCTCCATATTGGACCCGACATTTCGTACAACCGGTGCTGTCCATACCACTGGAAGGAAACCGAGGGCAGCGAGCGCTGGAAGAACGAGAGAGAGCATGGTATCAGGACTCATGTCGGTGCAGGTAAGCTGGGATGGTCAAAGTAGTATAAATAGCTTGGGCTGTAAGGACGAGCGCAAGGAGGAGTCCATGATGGAGGCGTTAAAGTACTTGGCGTCCTGATGCAGCATCACTCGCATGGGTTGGAGTGCCGCGATCGACATCCCACGTGTACTGATAGAGGTGATACCAATTATAGCCAGCCTCGTTCAACATCCCGCAGTGGCGGGCGGTCCCGAATTTTCAATTCGTGTCGTTTCCAGGTCCATGGATGGCGAGAGGCACCGAGGACGTTTAGCGCAGCGCAGCTCATGCGGCGTTTATCACGGGGCGTGTAGTAGGGGATACGCAAGCTTTACGGCAAACCGGCGGTGGCTTTTCTTATCGCCCCGAACCTTTTGCGCGGTTTTCTTTTGAAGTGGTTCCGCGATTACTCGTTAGGCAAAGCGGCAACCTAGCGCCCAATATGCGACCTCGGGATCTCGGTGACGTTGTCGTTAGTTGCGTAGAGATAAGACATCCAGTTATATAGAGAACGTAAACGAAAACTAAGACGCACTTTTAGCGTATACGTGCTAAATAGTTAATTTACGCGTACTAAATATTCTTTGCTATTTTTAACTATACTTTATCGTCAAGAGCGGTAATACATAAGCCGCCTATAGCTACTATCTAGTTTACATTACTTAACTATTCTTTGAGTCGTATTCAACGATCTTCAGCTCTGGCGAACCCTGGAAATAGACCCTTGCGCCCATCGGCACGCGGTCATTACCAATTAGTAGTCTCTTTTCGGGGCCAACGAAGATCGAGATGACACCAAAACCATCTTTCCGTGTCCAGAATGGCATTGACACTAGTGAGTCGGTGGCATTTTCAGCCTGTGGTGCAAGCACCTTCAACGCGGATGGAGCTCGCCACAACTGCTCGTGGATGCGTGTCAGTAAAGATTCGCGTTACTCGACAATAACAAGCACCGCTGATCAAAATGGAAGCCGACATACTGTCCTGGTGAAATTGATGCCGCCACCACTTGCAGAGACGTTGATGCCTCCCTCGGTGAGGTCGTAGGTGGGACTGAACTGGGAAATCACGACGGTGATCTCCTCGTTATGCTGGTTCACAACCCATACACACTTGGGAATACCTTTGAGCGTTCGCATGATGCCTCCGAGCATACCCTTTGCCTCGACGTCAGCCACATTCTTTAACTCAGAGGAAAGCTCGTCCCATTCCTCCATGTCCTCGGGTGTCGGGAGCTGGGGCCCCGTGATCGATTTCTGTGTTATGGCATCAGCCTCTTCGGTTTTTTCTGCCATGCGCAACATGTACGGGACCTGTACGACGTCATATGGGTTGACTTCGTCCCGAGCCGCGTGGGGTCGACCGTCTCTTCCTCTAGCTATCAGATACTCTTCGGGCGAAGCCGCCTCTAACCAGCGCAAGTCAACCGGCTTCTTGGATAGCACAAAGACGAAGTGCTCTTGGACAAATGGAGCTTTCGGGACGGCCACTGGCCACTCGATGGGTATTCCTTTCATTGGGAGGCGACGCTGCGCGAGAGTCTCAGAGTCATGCCCCTGATACAGATGAACTCCAGTCTCCCACGCCCGGGAGACGAGTGTGACTTTGCCTGAGGCGTCGATCCGGAACGTGTTTATGAAGACCCCTAGGTCATCGTTAAGCTGGAATCGAATGTAGTATTGCTCCCCAGCGGCCAAACCAAGCTGTCCAGGTTTTTCGGCCGAGCTGTTATTTCTTAGCCCATGCCCGAACGCACACATGGTGAGTACAACTACTCCTAGGAACGTACTTAGCGCTGAATTCCAGTCTAGGATTCCCTTCATAATCCTGAACAGCACCTATCTCAATCTTTAGACCATGCTTGAATTTTTCATCGCCTGTGCCTCCCTCCAACGTCAGAATCGCTTGAGCTTCCGCGAACGTGTGTGCGATCGAGATGAGCTTCTCCACGTTCCAGGGATTGTTCGCTTGGCCTGATCCGAGTTGCGTCCCGCCAGCGAAGAGAGCGATCTCGCCACTGTTTTCGCCTTCCTTTAGCTCTACCGTTGCCTTCTCTCCTGCTTCACAACGACTGAAAAAGGGAGACTTGCTAAACAGCTCCTCGGCATGCTGGACGCTCCCCGACACGGACATGGGCCAGCGCCGTCGGCGAGAATATGGAAGTGCCAAGGCCTCTGTGAAGGGATAACTTTCCGTGGAGACATCTAGCGCAACTGCCTTGAAGCCGTTAGTTTTCCATATTGTGGCTCGGCGCCCCGTAGTCGGCGTAGTGTGGGCGTCGCGTCCCTCGGTTCTGAACGGCACTAGCGTGTACACGTCTCCTGCTTGAAGCCCGTGGACTTTCCCGCCGCTGATGGTTGTAAACTCTGGTCCAACCTCGGCGAGAAGAGCAGAGAACGGGCCCCTGTCTAGCGAAAAGGGAATTCTGGTGTCAGCGCCGGCGGATCGGGGCTTTTGGAAGTCGTCGTCATCGAAGGCGCGCTCCACTAGGGCCTTGGTGCCGAGCATGATGTTCCGCCAGGACATCTGACCGCTAGCATCCTTCATCATCTCGGCAAGCTTCTCGGTCAGGATGCCGACGTACTGCCCCCGAGTGTTCTGATACTGCCACGCGGGCTCTAGGTCCGCGGCCGCAGCAATGCGCACTACGTCCGGGTTAGTCCAGAACTCGTTCTCCAGCATCTTGTTCCCCTCACGAAGCCTCAGCCGGTGCTCCGCGAGGACGTCGTAGTCGAATGAAGACTGCTTCCGCGAGACCGCGCCGCGGGGACCACGGCCCAAGCGTGCCGAGTGACAGCAATCCAATATGTAGGTGACGTTGCGCGTCTTGCCTGTTGTTCGTAGCAGCCAGTTGGAGATCTCGTCGCCCATGATGCCGAGCCATTCATCGGTGGCGAGGTTGAAGTCAGTGGTGACCAGAAACTGAATATTTTTAGAATGCTCGGAAGACGCATCGGATCGCTTCGGTTGGGCAAGTCCACCATGGCCGGAGTAGTATATAACCACGGCGTCGTCCCAAGATGTACTCGATATGATGTCTTCCCAAGCTTGTAGGATCTTCTTGCGAGTAGCATCTGCGCCACAGAGTTTCTTGACGTAGTTCGCGTCATCTACATGGAAGCCATAGCTGCGGAGGACCTCAGCCATAGTCGCCACATCGTTTTCGGTTCCGCGTAGCTCGTCGTAAGAGCTACCGATCAGTAAAGCACGCCTAGCTATGGAGCTCTGTACAGTTTCCATTCTTCTCGAGACCGGTCATTTGAGGTACGCTTGCGATGATAGATGCAAAATTACGATGCGCCTTGCGGACGGGGTGGAGCTTTTACTGATGAATCCAAGCCTTGGTCGCTACTTCGAGCTCTGACATCTGATGCGGCACCCATTTCCCCGTCTGCACAAGGGCCGTCTCATTTTCTGCTACCGTGCTATGAGTGGAGGATACCAGTGCCGTTTTCCTCGGTACCATAGGATGCGTTCTCGAGGTGGGCTGAGTACGACGTGTCGCAGCCTTATTGGAAGATGGTGCATATTTACTGGACTCCTTAGTGGGCGAGGACATGAGGTCCGAAGTGGCTGCCTAATGAAAGCAGTGCCGGTGAGGCTGTGGCTGGCTCTACTCGGCCGTGGCCAGTAAAAGTGGCCACGTGTTTACTATGACGTGTCGCACCCTTGTTAGGAGATTACACACATTTACTCGTCTCTCTGGTATGGAATTCGAAGCTTCTGCCTAATGGAAACAGTGCTGGTGAAGCTGAAGCCCGCTCGACTCGACCATAGTCGGTAAAATAAGAATGTTTGGAAGAGCTATGGCTTTGTATGAATACTTGGGATACAACGTGCACTCGTCTGCATGATCGACTCCCAGAGAGGGATCGCAGCGTGACAGGGAAGGCGAGGCGGCCCGCAAATGTTACCGCCCCGTCCGATCACAAGCGGGGGCCGACCCACGCCTACCACATCCATGTAATAGGATGCCCAGGATGTGAATTATGGGTAGCTCACAGGCAGCTACAGTCTCATTGGCCTTATGTCGATGAACAGGGCAAAGGGAAGGCCGAAGCTGCACGCCGGATGTGGAAGAGAATGCATAAGTGCGGACGAGCTGAAATGAGGGGAGATAGGACATGGGCTGTATCACGGAAGATTGTGACCACTCTGCATATTAGACATGCCACATACATCAAATATTTGCATGCGGGATGTCAGAATCATGCACGCATTCAGCCGATTCGTTCACACCCCAGCAAGCATTTGGCGGGATGTTCTCATTTGGAGGATGGGGCAGTAAAAGCGAGTGGTAGCTTCCGCTGATTATGGTGGGTTATTTTCATCACCCTCAAACTCAAGTTGACCTCCTTCACCGGTGCTGCGGCACATGCACGCTGGTCTTGGCACCTACTACATAGCTGGCGAGGCGTCTAATCTTCGCCCCTTAAGCTCTCATATATCGGGCCGATCCATTTCTACTCCCTGCACGACTACAGGACAACTAGCCTCGAGAGGAAGCAGGGCTTTTGTTTATATCGATACTTTGTGGTCATTGATGACGGCTGACTGCTACGATAAGAAATATTTGAACCTGCAGAGCAGCTAAAATCCAACACTACCCACAAGCCTAGCCATGAGCCATGTCACGTCTTCCAGTCAAGCGCGACGTGATCCCGTCCGGCTTTGCGTTCGACAGTGAGAGCAGCTGGTTGAATGCGCAGTCAATACAACTCGCGAGACAGTTCGAGCAGTCTGGCAGCAGGATATATATCGACCAAGCAATCGCGATGGCCGAAAGGGCAGTGCGGGCTACGCCAACCAACAGCCCCGCCCACCCTAGCCGTTTGATCAATTTGGCAAACCGTTTTCGGATGCGATACCATGCTTTCGAGGATATGGCCGATCTCAACCGTGCTATTGACATAGCTCGCGAATCTGTTCAGACTACTGAACGTGGGGCTTCCAATCTTTCAAATCGACTCCTTATGCTTGGGATTTCTCTCAAGCTGCGATACCAGGAGACAAAATCGGCGCAAGACCTAGGAGACGCCATTGATATGCTCAATAAGGCACAAGAGGGCATCCTATGGCACGATCCAGCGGGAACAGAAACGCTGGAGACTCTCCAATATCTGCTCGTCGAGCGCTACACTCAGACAGAGAGAGCTGAAGACATCGATCGTAGCATCGAATTTGCAACCAAGCTTGTGGAGCTGACACCTCCGGGGGATTCACGGCTATTGAGTCGAATAGAGTCCCAAATAGATGCAATCGACGAGCGTTTCCATCGTACAGCGTCCTACGGCGACATCACCCTGGGAATTAAACTGGCCGAACGGGGAGTGCGGTTGGCCTCCCGGAACGCCGCCGACCGAGCGGCCTGGATGGGTCGCCAATCGATGTGGCTGGGCAGAAAAGCCAAGGAGACTGGGGAAATGGAGGACATTGAGCACGCAATTAAAATCGCTGAGGCGGCAGTCGACGCTGCAGGTCCCGACAATGATTACTACGGGAGTAACTTGAGCCACCTGGCTATCCTCCTGACCATGCGTGCCGAGAAGACGGAGATGGAAGATGATATCTCCAGGGCAGTCGAGACCGCTGAGCTGGCTCTCGAAGCCGCGCCCGTCGGAAGCCACCTTCGGCCTAGCAGACTAAACAGTCTTGCCAATTGCCTAGGCACCAGATTCAAGCAGACCGACAAACTCCAGGATCTCAATCGAGCTATAGAGGCCGTTGCGCAAGCTGTGAAAACCATGCCTTCCAACTATACGGGCAAAGCCACCATCTACGGCACTTTGGGAGTGTGGTACGGCAACCGAGCTGAACGGACATCATCCGTGAGCGACCTCGATCGTTCCATCGAGGCGCTTGGACAATCAGTCCAGTTAACGGATGCTAGCGATATAGGCCAAGCTGCTAGCTGGCAAAACCTTGGGAAGTGGCTGAATAGACGATTTCAGCTAACTGGGAATTTGGCCGATATCGATCGCTCTATTCAATGTAGCGAAAAGGCATTAGAGCTCATGCCTTCAGACCACAACAGTAGGGGAATTTTATTGAATACCCTCGGGTCAGCTTTCGGCCAGCGTCATCAGTGGACTGGACGTGTCAGCGATCTGGACGCTGCCATCGAGGCCATACAGGAGGCTGTGGACGCCATACCACCGTCTGAGCCAAACCGATCAAGGTCACTAATGAACCTTGGGATCGAGTTGGAGAGGCGCTTTGTGCAGTTTGGGGCCATGGTGGATATATATCGCGCTATCACGGCGATGGAAGCAAGCCTAGACAGTCTGCGTACCCGCCAACTCGATCGTGCCATAATAATGTCGGGGCTCTCAACTACTCTGCTCCGGAAGTTCGAGCGCACAAAGGACCTTGCCGACATCAACCGCGCTATAGCTGTTGCTGAAGAAGCCAGCAAACTCTGTAAGGAAGATCATACCGCTTTCCCTGGTATTATGCTCCATTGGGCAAACGCACTCGGCAGCCGATTCAAGCACAGTGGTCACCTGGACGATGCGGATGAGGCTATCGACATTCTAGAGAGGTTAATAAATTATCCAACAGGGGATTCACGCAGTCGCGCCACCCGCCTTAGCGCCCTAGGAGTCATGTATAGCAGGCGATATGCTAAGACGGCACGCCTCAAGGATCTCGACAATGCCATTAAAATGGGCCAGTATGCCGTGCAAGCTCTGCCTCACGATCATCCTGATCGATGTGGCATGCTGAACAACGTAGCTGGTGATCTCGAAACAAGACACGGACGGACTAATTCAAAGCAAGACCTCGATGAAGCTCTCCGCTATTTTACGGAAGGCTTCTATAACCAGGCCGCCCCGTCATTCCTCCGTGTTTACTTATCGGCTCGAGCCGCTATCATTCTCTCCAGGTACTGCAATTGGAAGGACTCCAGTGCGCTTTGGCTTGAAGCGGTGATGCTCTTGCAACGTTCCACTCCCCGGTTTCTTGAGAACAGTGATAGGCAGTTTATGCTTTCTGAATTTCCTGCCCTGGCTGCCCAGGCTGCGTCCATCGCTCTGAATGCCGGAAAGAGTGCTTATGAGGCCATTAAGGTCCTAGAATTGGGTCGTGGAGTCCTTGCTGGCCTACTTTTGGACATGCGTAGCGACCTCTCTATACTCCGCGAGAAGCATGCGGGTCTGGCCGAGAGATTCGATGCGCTCCGAGACGTCTTAGACTCTTCCTCGATGAACGACTCACGGACGTCTATGGACAGCGACCCTACTGTCTCTCAAGGAGCACAGAGCAAACTGCGGCGAGAGGCCGAAGATAGGCTAAATCACGTCATCGCCGAAATCCGCACTAAGGAAGGATTTAGCACGTTCCTCCTCCCGCCGACGGCCGAGCAGCTAATGGCTGAGGCGGAGCCGGGTCCTATTGTGATTGTAAACACAAGCTATTACCGCTGCGACGCCCTCATCATCGAGCGACATCGCATCACTACCTTGCCACTGCCTGACTTAAGGATGGAGGATGCCGAAGAGAAGGCTCAGCGGATAAGGGAGGCCGACCCGACGCTAGAGTCTTTCTCGAGCACCAACTCCGTACTAGAGTGGTTATGGGTAGTTGCCGCGCGGCCGATTCTCGCGGAGCTTGGTTATCACGGACCGCCGGCGGATGATGTCTGGCCTCGCATATGGTGGATACCTACTGGCGCTCTCACACACCTTCCCATTCATGCTGCTGGAAAACATACACATGATTCCACGGAAACGGTCCTCGACCGTGTTGTGTCTTCGTACAGCTTGTCCGTCAAAGTACTCATGCACAGCCGCCAGCAAAGTCAACGGGGCGAGACCGCTGTAACTACTGCTAACAAGGCGGTGTTGGTCTCGATGCGACGGACACCTGGACTCGGCACGAATAAGGACCTCCCCTTCGCCGCCCAGGAAGTTGCTATGCTCGAGGGATTCTGTCCGGAGCTCCAGCTCAAAGCAATCCGGCCCATGCAGTGCAGGCAAGACGTCCTGCGGCTCCTCCCGTCCTGCAAGGTCTTCCATTTCGCTGGCCATGGCCACACGAACCACACCGAGCCCTCGCTCAGCAGCCTGCTCCTGCTGGACTGGCAGACGCAGCCGCTGACGGTGGCGGACCTCAGGGATCTGCAGCTGCAGGCGACAGCTCCATTCCTCGCCTATCTGTCGGCCTGCTCGACTGGTGTCAACGAGGCTGAAGCGCTCGCGGACGAGGCAGTCCATCTGATTGGCGCCTGCCAGCTGTCTGGATTCCAACATGTCGTGGGCACGCTCTGGGCCGTCGACGATGAGCACTCCACCGATGCGGCACGTCAGGTGTATGATGCGATACGGGATGGCGGCTGGAACGGCGCCGCGGTGGCGCGGGGTGTTCACGCGGCGGCGCGGCTGCTTCGAAGACAGTCGGGTGGAAGACACCTGGGAACTGGCTATGCGATACGCGAAGAGGGTAATCCTGCGATCTGGGCGCCTTATATCCACGTTGGCTTAGGGTTAGGGTTCCGTTTATCTGCAAAGTGAACCACTGTACCAGGAGTGGTTCTACGCAGCGAAGTATAAGAGCTACGCAACGGAGTTGCTTACTCATGAAATAAGTCACCCCAGAGGGGTCATGTGCCAGTAGCGGTGCGGGGCACGGGCCTAAGAGAGCCTAGTACTCTCTTCCTTAAGAATGTAACGTTATAGCAATAACGCGACTAGAGAGAGAAATTACATACTAGAATAAACTAGCTATGCTAGGTAGTAGTTAGTTATAATTACATTATAATTAGTTGTAGTAGAGTATAATAGACTATTAGATTTAGGCTATAGAAGTAGTTAGTACGCAGAGGGCGTAGAAGTTAGATAGTAGAGTAGTAGAGAGTAGTACTTAGCAGATTACCTATATAGGCAAGTAGAAGAAGAGGCGTAGATAGTAGTAGGTAGTTCTTCTATAGGTAGTAGAGAGAATTAGCTATATAGAACAGAATAAACTAGAGAGAGTAGGCTACTAGTATAGTTAGTATATAGAGTAAGTAGGTTACGTAGGTAGAGCTAGAGTAGATAGAGTAGTAGAAAGGTTTATAGAAGAGGCACGTTCTCTTCTTTAGTCTTTATACTATCTTTACTATTTATTGTAGGCTTTATATACATTATAGAGTAAGGTTTATAAGAGTAGGTATTAGATAGAGTAGGCGTAGACGTAGCGTAGTAGAGTATATTAGTAATTACGTAGTAATAGAGTATATAGAATATAATAGACTAGAGAGTTTAGGCACGTATAGTAGTAGAGTAGTAGTAGGTATAGAAAAGTAAATTATATAGGTATAAGTAGTAGTTACGTAGAGTAGGTAGGTAGAAGAGTAGCTCTCTTCTCTTCTATCTTTGTTTTTACTAGAGGTAATAGAGCTGTAGGTAGTAGTATAGTTCTAAGAAGAAATTATACTCTCTTACTTAGAAAGAGAAGATTATAGTAATAACGTAAAGAGAATAAAAGGTTACGTACTTACTAGAGCTAGAAGTATTAGAAGAGGTAGGCCTTATAGTAGTTTCTACTTACTTATTACGTAGTATTACGTTGTATTACGCTAGATTATATTAGACGCGTAGAGTAGCGCTAGTAGAGCTAAGAGTATTAGTAACGTATATAATATCTATAACGCTAAGTAAGAGTATATAGGTAGTACTTAGTTTATATATTAAAGAGGTATATATAGAAGAGAGTAAGAGCGTATATAAAGAGATAGAGATAGTAGTATAGAGTAATAGAGATAGGTTATATTAGAAAAGTAAGTAGTATAAAGAGTAGTATAGCTAGTAAGAAGTTTTATTATATTAGAAAAATATAGAGTAGAGATAGTTTTATTATATTAGAAAAATAGAAAGAGTTTTATTAAAAAAGAGAGTTATAAGTAAGAGCTAGGTTTAGTTATAAAAGAGAGTTATAGGCAAAAATATATAAAAAAAAAGAGTTATAGATAAGAGAGATATAGAAGTAAAGATATAAAAAGTATAGAGAGAATATAAGAGTATATTAGAAAAATATATAGAGTAGAGAGAGAAATATATAAGAAGTATAGAGAGTAGTTATCTAGAGTATATATATATGTAAGGTATAGGTAGGTATAGTAGTATATAAAAAAAGTACTAGGCGTTAGTATTCTTTATAGATTATCTAGACGTAAGTATAATATAATTCTATTTATCTATAAAGTAAACTACTATACTAGAATAAAGAGAACGTAGAGAAGTATAGAATATACGTAATAGAGCTACTAGTTATAGAATAACGCGTTACAAAGTAATTACGCGCTAAAGGTAGTATAGATCTAGCTATACTTAGTTCTAGAAGAGACTAGTAGATTCTATAGATAAGTAGGTAATATTATAGAATAATAGAAGAGAAATAATAAGTTACCTGCTAGAATATACTAGCTTGTCTAGTTAGTACTATAGTTATAATATAATTCTAATTAGTTATATAGAGGCATAATAGACTAGAAAGTATAGGCTTATAGTAGTAGTAGGTATAGAAAGATAAGTTATATAGGTATAGATAGTACTTATAGAGTAGAGAAGGTATATATAAAAGAGCGTTTCTTCTTCTACTTTATCTTTATTTCTCTAGTCGCGTTATATTAAGTATATAAGGTTAGTTTATTATAGAGTAAGTATAGAATAGAGTTAGAGTAAAAGGTACGTAGAAATATATAGGTAGTATTTAGTAGGTATACGTAGAGGTAGAGAGTAGTATAATAGATAAAAGAGAGAGTTATAGAACGTAGTAGATATTAAAAAGAGTTATAGTATAGGTATAGGCGCTAGTAGTAGATAGAATAGTAGTTATAGAGCGTAGAGCGTAGGCGTAGAGGTAGCTATATTAGGTAGAAGTAAGTTTTATACTAGTATACTATAGTACGTAGAAGTAGCGCGTATAGGCGGCGCTAAAAGAGTTAGAGGTAATAGGTAGGTTAGTTAGATTTTTATAGGTAGTAATAGTAGTAAAGTAGTTATAGAAGTATAGGTTAGTAGTATACGCCGCGTTAGCATAGAGCTACGTATACAAGTAGGTAAAGCTAGACGCGTAGAGTTTAAGCGTAGCTTTATAGTATAGTTATAAGGTAGTAAAGTAGACGTAGAAGTAGAAATAGCTAGAAGTACCTCTAGTATATAAGTAGAACGTTTAGCTAAGTAGAGCGTTATAGTTAGTAGTAGTATTAAGTATAGTTATACTATAGTATTACGTAGTTATATAGACTTATAGTAGAAGAGTATACGTATTATAGCTAGAGGTAGGCAAGATTACGCTTTCTAAAAGAGAATAGTAGACTCTCTTTCTTTATCTTCTTAGAGTGTAGTAATAGAGTTACTATAGTTAGAGGTATAGTAGATAGTAGTAGAGTATATAGAAAGAGTAATAGAGCTATATATAGTATAGAGTAGAGGTACGTATTATATACTATAAGAGGCACGTAGCTTAGTAAGCGTAGGTAGAAAGTATATTAGAAAAGAGCGCTAGATTTAGTTATAAAAGAGAGTTATTAGTAAGAGAGCTCTAGTTTTAGCTATAAAGTAGAGTTATAGGTAAATATAGAGAGAGGTTATATTAGAAAAATAGAAAGAGTTTTATTAGAAAAGAGAGTTATAGGTAAGCGCTAGCTTTAGTTATAAAAGAAAGTTATTAGTAAAATAAAATATAAAGAAGTTATAAACAAAAGTTATTAGTAAAATAGAATATAAAGAGGTTATATTAGAAAAATACGTAGAGAAAGAGAAAGAGAGAGAGATATATAAGAGGTATAGTAGTATAATAGTTTTATACTAGTAACTAGCTTTATTTATAGATAACTTAGCGTAAGTATAATATAATTTTATTTATCTATAAAGTAGACTACTATACTAGATAGAGAGAAATATAGTATAGTATAAAAGCTACGTAGTAAAGCTACTAGTTATAAAGTAACGTTACTATAAAATAGTCTAGAACGTGTTTACTAGATAGTAGTACGTAAGTACTTCTTAAAAGAGACTAGTACTCTCTTTCTTAAGTAGGTAATATTATAGAATAATATAAGAGAAATAAGAAGTTATATACTATAATAAACTAGCTATACTAGGTAATAGTATATTATAATTTTATTATAATTAAATAGGTAGAGGCCTATAGACTAGAGAGTATAGATACTAGTAGTATAGTAGTTAGCGCGTAGAGAAGGTATATATAGAAAAGGTAGAGCTTTTCTTTTTCTAGCTCTACGTTATTACTAGCGTTATATTATTAGTATATATAGAAAGTATATTACTATAGAGTAGAGTATAATAGTAGAGTTATATATTTATAGCGTAAGAGCTAGAGTAGTAAAAGTATAAATATACTATATAGAGTAGTAGACGTAGTATACTAGAAGTAATTTACGTAGTAGTATTAGGTAGTATAGAAGTATTAGTATCTACTATACTAGTTAGTATACAACGTATTATTTATAGAGCTATAGAGTAGTAAGTAGATAGCGTAGATATTAGAGAGTAAGGTATACTAGTAAGTATAGAGTAGAGGTAGTAGAGGTAGATAGAAGATAAGAGTAATAGAGGTATAAGTAGGCTATATAGAGTAGTAGTATAAAGTTACCTAAAGGTGTATAGTAAGTAGGTTAGTAAGTAGAAGTAGAAGCACGTTAGATAGCTAGAGTAGTAGTTTATAAGGCTAGTAGAGAAATAAGCGTAGAGTAACGTAAGGTAAAAGTACTTTTTATAGTTATAGTAGTAGTTTATACTAGGCGACAGCTTTAGTAGAAATATAAAGGTAGCTTAGAGCTTAGTTAGATAGTAGAGGTAGAGTAGGCAGAGTAGTATTTGCGTAGTAGGTATAGAGAGTAGTAGAGTATCTTAGGTAGAGTAGGCGTAGAGGCGTAGAATAGAGAGTAGTAGAGTAATACTAGTAGAGAGTAGTACTATAAGTAGAGCGCTTAAGTTAGAAGGTTAGCGTAGAAGTATAAGGTAGCTTTTCTAGAGTAGAGAGGTATATAGAGTATAGCGTAGCAGAAGCGTATAAGTTATATTAGAGAAATATATAGTATAGAGTAGAAGTAAAAGTAGTATTATTTTAGATATTATAGTAGCGTAGGTAGAGCGTAGAGATATAGTAGAGTTATAGAGAATAGAGATAAGAAGAAGAGTTATATTCTTCTAGAAGAAGAGGTATAAAGAGAGAATAGAGCGTAGTAGTAGTAGTAGTAGAGTAGAGTAAAAAAGGCGTAGGTAAGAGAGGTAGTTTTATTATATTAGAAGAGCGTGTAGCTTTATACGTAGAGAGAGAGAGTATATTAGAAAAAAGTAATAGCTTTTATTAGAAAAGAGAGTTATAGGTAGAGAGAGATAGAGAGAGATAGATATATAGAAAGTGTAGAGAAGAGAGATATATAAGAAGTATAGAGAAGAGAGAATATAAATACATAAGAGTTTAAGATATATAAAGTATAGTAATATAAAGGTATTATACTAGATAGTAGCGTAGTTTATAGATAGCTAGGCGTAAGTATAAT